TCATGCCTCATCGTCTTGCCTCATCGTCATGCATCATCGTCATGCCTCATCGTCATGCCTCATCGTCATGCATCATCGTCATGCATCATCGTCATGCCTCATCGTCATGCCTCATCGTCATGCCTCATCGTCATGCATCATCGTCATGCCTCATCGTCATGCATCATCGTCATGCCTCATCGTCATGCCTCATCGTCATGCCTCATCGTCATGCATCATCGTCATGCCTCATCGTCATGCCTCATCGTCATGCATCATCGGCATGCCTCATCGTCATGCCTCATCGTCATGCATCATCGTCATGCCTCATCGTCATGCATCATCGTCATGCCTCATCGTCATGCCTCATCGTCATGCATCATCGTCATGCCTCATCGTCATGCCTCATCGTCATGCATCATCGTCATGCATCATCGTCATGCATCATCGTCATGCCTCATCGTCTTGCCTCATCGTCATGCATCATCGTCATGCCTCATCGTCATGCCTCATCGTCATGCATCATCGTCATGCATCATCGTCATGCCTCATCGTCATGCCTCATCGTCATGCCTCATCGTCATGCATCATCGTCATGCCTCATCGTCATGCCTCATCGTCATGCATCATCGTCATGCCTCATCGTCATGCCTCATCGTCATGCATCATCGTCATGCCTCATCGTCATGCCTCATCGTCATGCCTCATCGTCATGCATCATCGTCATGCCTCATCGTCATGCCTCATCGTCATGCATTATCGTCATGCCTCATCGTCATGCCTCATCGTCATGCCTCATCGCCCTCAGGAACCCCTGTCTTTGCGATTGGGAGGCGCATCTGATAGCGTCAGTACCAGCCCGGGCAGAACATCAATCTCTGGCTAGTCGGCCCGCCTGCATCACTCCATTCATTCGAAAAGGTCAGAAAACAACACCGCGAACAAAGGTGCTGCTGGTAACTGGGTAGGTGTGGCTGCTGCAGAGCCTTGCTGCCTTAGGCTCAGCTGCATCTGCCCTGAATCTGACTCCATTCCAGCAGCCAGCACACTCTATCCGTTCCGCCTCGACCCCATGGGCTTTCACCGATTACTTTTCCGCTTCTGACTTGCAAAGCTCCTCTGCTCCCGTTGTTGTCGCTTCTCCGCATCCTGCCCAAGCGCCAATGTGCTGAGAGTCCCCCTACCAAGTCTTCAAGACTCCATCCCTCTCCCGTTATTCATTCCACCGCCCTGCCCATCACAGCAACCAAGGTGTATCGCCTGCAGCAGCCACCGGTCTCGGGTATCGCCGACTCTCCTGCTAGTGTCTTGACAGGCCGAGAAGGAAGAGAGGGAGGTGACAGGCAGGCGTTATCGGGTCTGCGGTGTGAAGAAAGCTCAGTGGGGCGGCTGAGGCAGCTGGAGAGCACTGAGCTCTGTGGCTTGCTGCTGCTGGGCGATGGTCCTGCTAATGTGGGAACGAGGGCGCAAAGAGTGGTGCATGAGAAGGGAAGTCCTGGCGGAAGCATCAAAAGGGCGAGTGCAGAAGACGTGAACAAGGGTGAAGCGGGACGGAAGCAGAAGCAGAAGCAGAAGGGGGAGGAGGAAGCGCAGGCGACAAGCAAGCAGCTTGAGATGTTGCAGCAGGCGAACGATGAGGTGGGTGAGGTGGTGGGTGTGAGGTGGTGGGTGAGGTGGTGGGTGAGGTGGTGGGTGAGGTGGTGGGTGAGGTGGTGGGTGAGGTGGTGGGTGAGGTGGTGGGTGCGAGCAGTCATCGCCCAGCAATGGGTTGGAAGCGCCCTGACAAATTGGTCAGATCAATCCGTTCCCTCTTCGTCCATACGCATCTCACTATATAGCAGGCAGGATAAAAAAGGCCGTCCGTTTCTCCTGCACATTCAACTCTTGACTGTTCAGTCTAATGTACCTGTTCCATCGCTCGATCTGCTGCTGTCTGCTCCCGTCCTATGCAGATGGCACGAGGGCGATACACGGAGGCAATCGCCATCTACAACAAGGTCAGTCAGGGACGCAGCCTAATAACCGTCACCATTTTCTTGTCTCCTGGATAGCAGATTCTACTCTAAGTCACTGCAGTTCATCCATCTTCCTCCATCCCACATTCCTTTATCAGACTGCAGTTCTCCCTTCACACGTGACGTGACATGTCCGCCCTTGCCTTCCATGTATGGACCGTTCCCGCCTGTTTGTCCGTTGATCCCCCAATCATTGCCTGACAGCTGGCGTCGACTCCCTCGCTCAAGGGTCAAGTGCTTGTGGGTCGAGGCTCCTGCCTCAGTGCACTGGGGCAGTTCGACAAGGCCCTCGCTGACCTGTCCTCTGTAAGGATTGCACTCCGTCCACTTCCTTCCTTCTTATGAGACGTCTCAAAAGTCTGCCACAGTGCACTGGGGCAGTTCGACAAGGCCCTCGCTGACCTGTCCTCTGTAAGGATTGCACTCCGTCCACTTCCTTCCTTCTTATGAGACGTCTCAAAAGTCTGCCACAGTGCACTGGGGCAGTTGGACAAGGCCCTCGCTGACCTGTCCTCTGTAAGGATTGCACTCCGTCCACTTCCTTCCTTCTTATGAGACGTCTCAAAAGTCTGCCACAGTGCACTGGGGCAGTTGGACAAGGCCCTCGCTGACCTGTCCTCTGTAAGGATTGCACTCCGTCCACTTCCTTCCTTCTTATGAGACGTCTCAAAAGTCTGCCACAGTGCACTGGGGCAGTTGGACAAGGCCCTCGCTGACCTGTCCTCTGTAAGGATTGCACTCCGTCCACTTCCTTCCTTCTTATGAGACGTCTCAAAAGTCTGCCACAGTGCACTGGGGCAGTTGGACAAGGCCCTCGCTGACCTGTCCTCTGTAAGGATTGCACTCCGTCCACTTCCTTCCTTCTTATGAGACGTCTCAAAAGTCTGCCACAGTGCACTGGGGCAGTTGGACAAGGCCCTCGCTGACCTGTCCTCTGTAAGGATTGCACTCCGTCCACTTCCTTCCTTCTTATGAGACGTCTCAAAAGTCTGCCACAGTGCACTGGGGCAGTTCGACAAGGCCCTTGCTGACCTGTCCTCTGTAAGGATTGCACTCCGTCCACTTCCTTCCTTCTTATGAGACGTCTCAAAAGTCTGCCACAGTGCACTGGGGCAGTTGGACAAGGCCCTCGCTGACCTGTCCTCTGTAAGGATTGCACTCCGTCCACTTCCTTCCTTCTTATGAGACGTCTCAAAAGTCTGCCACAGTGCACTGGGGCAGTTCGACAAGGCCCTTGCTGACCTGTCCTCTGTAAGGATTGCACTCCGTCCACTTCCTTCCTTCTTATGAGACGTCTCAAAAGTCTGCCACAGTGCACTGGGGCAGTTGGACTAGGCCCTCGCTGACCTGTCCTCTGTAAGGATTGCACTCCGTCCACTTCCTTCCTTCTTATGAGACGTCTCAAAAGTCTGCCACAGTGCACTGGGGCAGTTCGACAAGGCCCTTGCTGACCTGTCCTCTGTAAGGATTGCACTCCGTCCACTTCCTTCCTTCTTATGAGACGTCTCAAAAGTCTGCCACAGTGCACTGGGGCAGTTGGACAAGGCCCTCGCTGACCTGTCCTCTGTAAGGATTGCACTCCGTCCACTTCCTTCCTTCTTATGAGACGTCTCAAAAGTCTGCCACAGTGCACTGGGGCAGTTCGACAAGGCCCTTGCTGACCTGTCCTCTGTAAGGATTGCACTCCGTCCACTTCCTTCCTTCTTATGAGACGTCTCAAAAGTCTGCCACAGTGCACTGGGGCAGTTGGACAAGGCCCTCGCTGACCTGTCCTCTGTAAGGATTGCACTCCGTCCACTTCCTTCCTTCTTATGAGACGTCTCAAAAGTCTGCCACAGTGCACTGGGGCAGTTCGACAAGGCCCTTGCTGACCTGTCCTCTGTAAGGATTGCACTCCGTCCACTTCCTTCCTTCTTATGAGACGTCTCAAAAGTCTGCCACAGTGCACTGGGGCAGTTGGACTAGGCCCTCGCTGACCTGTCCTCTGTAAGGAGTCTTCTGCTCCGTCCACTTCCTCCTTCTTATCTCCACTTGTCCACTTATTGAGTGATCAGCAGCCCCATGATTTATCAACCCTTCCAACTCGTGTGCTGTGCTCCACTGGCAGGCTCTGGCATCAAACCCCACAAGCACTGCTGCCTTCATGGCTCGAGCAGGCACTTATTTCAAGATGAACAAGAATGTTGAGGTACATGTGATGATGTATGGTGGCGACGAGGGGTAGGGGGGGGACCACATCATTAGGTAATGGCATCATACATGCATGATGTCTCATCGAGTAGATGGGACAAGATACGCTGTCATCCTCTTACTTACTGCATGATGTCATTAGGTTCACAGGTAGACTAGATCAATTGTGCAGCCGTGTGGATTGCTATCATCATTCGTACATATGACAGACATGCTGCCATGGTCCATAGTTCCAATACGCATGTTGCCATTGTGCTCCTGATCACACCAGATTCTGTCCCGACTCTTGGCCATTGGCCTTGCTGTCAGCAGGCATCCTGCAGTGACACAGCTGCTGCCATCCCTCGTTGCATCTCGCCCTTCTACCCTCTGTTTTATTCCACACCAACTGTCATGTCGTGAAGGCCTTAGTGGACTACTCACGAGTCATTGACCTGGACCCCTCCAATGCCGAAGCTGTCAGGTGGCGAGGTGAGTGCTGGTGGTGGGTGCGAGACACGACACAGCACTGCTGGCTTAGTTGTTCTCATCTCACTTCCACGTGCTTCCATCTGCCTTTTGAGTCGACTCAAATGCTGATAGAGGCGCGCCATCATGTGAACATCTGCCTTTTGAGTCGACTCAAATGCTGATAGAGGCGCGCCATCATGTGTCCATCTGCCTTTTGAGTCGACTCAAAAGTCACTTCCACGTGCTTCCATCTGCAACCGTCTCCGCTCGTTTCCTTCAACACACTCGCTCTCCCTTCAACACACTCGCTCTCCCTTCTCATCCGCTCATCCCACCCCTCCTGTCTCCTCTCTATCTCACTGCCAGGCATCTTGTCATTCAACCTAAAGTACTACTATGCAGCTGAGAAGGACTTTCAGCAAGCCATTCAGCTCGACCCCTCTCTTCCCTTCGTCTTTAAAGGCCTTGTATGTTATTCCTCACTCACGATGCTTCCTCATTCTTCTGATCTGTTGACGCTTTTAAATCCTCATTCCTTTGGGTTTGGGGGCATTTTTTATTGCTTCTTCCCTCCTACCATATGTCCAACATGCATTACCTGTTCATTAGGTGTTTCTCCCAGCACCCAAATTCCACTCTCCTCTTCTCCCTTTCGATCCATCCCCATTGTGACACTGTCCTCTGCTCCCCTCTCTCTAACGATCCTCACTCCCATAATCCCATTTCCTCTAGGGCCTCGCCATAGGGGGCAGTGGGAGGTGGCGGGAGTCGTTGCCAGTGTTTGCAGAGGGAGTGAGGCGGCACCCTCAGGATGCGGACCTGTGGCATTCCAAGGGGCGCGCGCACAAGGAGGTGGGCGAGGTGGATCAAGCCATACAGGCGCTGCAGCGAGCGCTGCAGATCAGAAAGTGAGTGAGTGCCGTGGATGTGACTGCTTACAGTCCCCGCGTCCTTCCTTTCCCTTGCTAGTACCCATTCTGGGGGCACGCGTAAATGATACCACTGACCACACCCTGTGCTCACACCCGTGCATTTCTGCGTGTACTACACAGGGCAGTGGCGACCTATCAGGAGCTCGTGTCTGTCAGCCGATTCGTGGGTGACTACAGGTGAGCTACCCGCACTTGCACAGTCAGGGTGTTTTCTTTTGTTCTGGGGAAGCTTTGTGTTTTCTTGTTGGCTGGATGAATATGACCTATGGAGCTCCATCCCTACTTTCCCTCTCTTCTTCTCCCCTCGCTCCCACCCCACAGGGCCGCCATACGCTATGCAAGGGAGGGGTTGGAGCTGGACGGAGGAGACATGGAGCTCGTGCACGCCCACGCCAGCAGCCTGCATGCCCTGGGGGACCTCGCCGAAGCTGTGAGCATCCCACACCCACACCCACCCCAAGCTGTGTGCTGTCCATTAGTGAGCTGCTACACGCCATGCTGTTCCTTGTATAGTCTCCTTTCACACCAGCCTCATCAGGACCGCCCACCCCTCATCTGCACACCTGTGATGTGTTGCCCACAGATGCGCAAGTACCAGGCAGCGCTGGCAATGCAGCCCAGGGACCAGGAGGGACAGGCTCTCCAGCACTCCATGTTCTACCAGGCATGTTCCAAAAGTTCAGCGGTTTTGTTGTGCTTTTTGTCCCACGGACAGTGCCTTGCCCGGTATCTTTCCCTTCCTCATCCGCTCCCTCCTTCCCCTATCTGCAATTACGACTCCCCTCCCCCTCCCAGAGGGAGGTACTGGCCTACACCATTGCTCGCTTGCAGCAGCCGCTCCCCTCCATCCGCTTCGACTGGGATTTCACTGCTGAGTTCAGAGTACGGCCACCCCTTACCACCCCCAACACAGCCGTCCTCATCACCTGTTGCATTTATTTCCGTCAGTACAACCATATTCAGTGGCTTTTCTTTGTTTGCTTGCTATTGCTATTGCCATGTTTCTCCCTCCCCCTCATACGTATTTTTCCCCTCTCCAATAACTCACATACCCTCCCCCCCAACCACAACAGGAGGCATGGACTAAGAAGGACCCTATAGCAACGCTGCCAGGCTACCAACCCCTCTCAGTCACTGCACGCCAATCACAGCGCGCCACGTTGCAGTCCCTGCCCACGCTGTCTCGTGAAGCGTTGGATCTGATCGAAGCAGCGGACAGGATCGGCCAGCGGGCCCACTACCACTGCGATGCATTCATGGCAAACAGGCAGCAGGTAACAGGCAGCAGGTAACAGGCAGCAGGTAACAGCAGAGATATGCCAAGATGCTTTTCCCTCTTTCTTTCTGTCTCTCCCCCTCTCACTTCCCCTTATTTCCCTCATTAAATCTGTTCCTGTTTTGACTCCGCCCCCTCCTCCTCCCTTCACCCCTCAGCTGCGCATGGCAGGGCTGGCAGCTCTTGACGTGATGCAGCAGGTGAGATTCTTCCCCTTTTTTTCCACCCTCGCCCTTCTCTCATCTGCCCCCATTCACTTTGATGGTGTTCAGTTCACTCGTACATCCCCAGGCCTGGCAGCTCTTGACGCGACGCAGCAGGTTAGTCAATGCTGCCCTTTCCCAACGCTTGTCTTCTAAGGACAGTGTAGGAGGTATGCGTACATTTACGCATTCAAGGTAGTCTCTGGCTGGTAGGGCCTTGTGACTGAAGGAGCTGGCGTCGTTATGTAAGCTTACAAGCCTTCCTATGTATGTGTGCCATTCATTTGTCTCTCCGTGTGTGCATGTGCCATGGCGCAGGCAAGGGCAACATGGGATGCCATGGCAAAGGAGCAGCAGCGAGGGGGGAGTCGGCGGCTGGTGACAACAACCATGGAAACTGATGCACCAGGAGGGGGGGGAGAAGGAGGAGGAGGAAGCGTAGGGATAGAAAGCAGGGCGAAGCAGAGGCAGCGGGGAAGTGACAGCTCCGGCAAGGGCAGTCGGAAAAGCAGTAGCAGAGGCAAGGGGTCGGGCGGTGGGGTGCTGAAGGGGTGGAGGGATGTGTACGAGGTGATCACGAGATGGAGACAGATCTCCGATCCAACGGATGCTGTGCTCTGGAAGGACCAGCTCAAGTACGTGCCACTGTGATTGCCTCTCTGATGCCATGCCATGCCATGCCATGCCATTGTGGTCTCTGAGAATGCTCAAAGTCGGTTTATGAGAACTCTCTGGGTTTCGACAATTCAACGGATGCTGTGCTCTGGAAGGACCAGCTCAAAGTGGCTGTGCCCTGTACAGCCACTATGGTTTCTCGTCTCAGTTCTTTGTTTATTACACTGAATGGTTTTCTGATAGCATGTGATCATATCATGTCTCATGTGTGGCGCTGCTCCATCTGCTTTCCTCTGCAGGAATCGCTTTGCGCAGGGCTTTCGGTCGTCCACGCCCATCAAGGTGTGGGATCTGCAGACCGTCAAGTACTACCCCGTCTTCAACAAGTGAGTACTAGTGCTACCTCCTAGCGCACCTCTCCTGCACTGCCTCCGCTTCTCTGTGGTCCCTCGCCACGTTTTCCACTCCTGAAATCCGGTTCAATGTGTGGCAGGTCGTTTGAGGCCATGCGTGAGGCTCTACTGGAGTCAGAGCAAGCCTTCACAAACAACCAGCCATTTTCTGTGCCACGCAACACACGTGGCGACATGGTGCGTGGGGTGCACGTGTCCTATGTAACACACATGGCGATATGCCGAGTGAAATGCGCATGTCTCTTGAAACACGAGTGGCGAGCACCAGCAGCACATGAGCACCAGCAGCACACGAGCACCAGCAGCACACGAGCACCAGCAGCACACGAGCACCAGCAGCACACGAGCACCAGCAGCACACGAGCACCAGCAGCACACGAGCACCAGCAGCACACGAGCACCAGCAGCACACGAGCACCAGCAGCACACGAGCACCAGCAGCACATGAGCACCAGCAGCACACGAGCACCAGCAGCACACGAGCACCAGCAGCACACGAGCACCAGCAGCACACGAGCACCAGCAGCACACGAGCACCAGCAGCACACGAGCACCAGCAGCACATGAGCACCAGCAGCACACGAGCACCAGCAGCACATGAGCACCAGCAGCGTTTGAGCGGGTGGTGCAGCGTATGAGCGTGTGCAGTGCAGCGTATGAGCGGGCGGTGCAGCGTATAAGCTGGCGGTGCAGCATATGAGCGAGCGGTGCAGCGTATGAGCGGGCGGTGCAGCATATGAGCGGGCGGTGCAGCGTATGAGCGGGCGGTGCAGCCCTTCATGAGGCTGTGGGAAAGGACTTTCTGGTGTTCAGGCGCCTCAACACTAGATTCCTCTCGCCCACTTCTCCCCATCCTTCCTCACATCACCAGGGCGGCTGACCTCCAGGCAATTCACCAGGCTGTGGGAAAGGAATTCACCAGGCTGTGGGAAAGGACTTCACCAGGCTGTGGGAAAGGACTTCACCAGGCTGTGGGAAAGGACTTCATCAGGCTGTGGGAAAGGACTTCACCAGGCTGTGGGAAAGGACTTCACCAGGCTGTGGGAAAGGACTTCACCAGGCTGTGGGAAAGGACTTCACCAGGCTGTGGGAAAGGACTTCACCAGGCTGTGGGAAAGGACTTCACCGGGCTGTGGGAAAGGACTTCACCAGGCTGTGGGAAAGGAATTCCTCTCAACCTTGCCACCTTGCGCCCGTCTCCCGTCCCCTCCTCTTCGCCTCCCCATCCTTCCTCAGATCACCAGGGCGGCTGACCTCCAGGCGCTTCATCAGGCTGTGGGAAAGGACTTTCTCGTGCAAGCACCCTGCTACAGCCATGCCGTTCCAGGGTACGCCTTCGCTGCTACAGCTGAGCATTTGAGCAGTACTGTATGTCCTGTTCCATGCCCCGGCCATGAGGTCTCAGAGTGCATGCCACACGTATTGCTATGTACTCTCATTTCATCGTCTCTGTAACCTCCTCACATCCTCCCATCTCATGCATGCTCATGCCCATGCAGGAAGGACCTGACCGGATCAATGTTTGAAATCCTTAAGAGGTAAGTAAGCCATTGCCTCATGCTTTCTCAATTCTGCCACTTCCCCCACGCATCAGCTAGAGCACACTGTTTACCACCCAGTTCCCACCAGCCTTCTTTGCTTGCACATTCTCGTGATTAGCCGCTTACTCATTGAATTTATGACAGGTGAGGCCATGTGCTACCCCACATTTTCCCCTCACATGCTCTCTCATCCCTCCACACCATTTTTCCCTGTCCATTCCAACCACCCCCCCTCCTTTTCCACTGAAGCTCCATCTGTCTTTCACACACCACATTCACTCGCCCCTGTTTGTCTGCCTGTACCATCCCAGCACACACGCCTTCAGCTTCTATACACACACACCAGTCAGCCCTCAACGGTGGCACGACTTCGACCAAGAGCTCGCTGCTGCATGGCAGGTCAGCCATGCATGACTCATAAGCATTTGCGCCTCCCCTTTGCCATGCAACCTATCTCTCTTCGCTTCAAGCCCAGGCGCATGAATCTTGCTCTGCGTGCCATTTCAGTTTGGCGCGGCTCCCTTTCACTGCGCCGCGTATCTGCAAGTCTGTCTCTGTCTCTGTCTCTGTCTCTGTCTCTGTCTCTGTCTCTGTCTCTGTCTCTGTCTCTGTCTCTGTCTCTGTCTCTGTCTCTTGTGTGGCATCCTACCTCAGATGCTGAATCGACATCCTACCTCTTGTTGGCCCATCCATTCCTGCTTCCCCCTCCTCCCTCCCACCAGGCGCTGTGTGCGGCAGTGCTGGACGCACACACAGAGGCAGCGGACCCGCGTCGCTACCGCCAGACGATTCAAGACGCCATCCTCCGCCTGGGGTACTTCTGGTCAGTATGGCACACTACCATGGGGTGCTCTCCATGCTCGTGGCTGGGGTACTTCTGGTCAGTACATTACACATCCACGGCTGTTTATGCATGGGGGTACTTATATGTGTTCATGGCAGGGGTCATGGCCTTCACTTCACATCCGCGCCTCCCCACCGTTACTCCCCAACAGGTTCCAGCTGATGCCGCTGACGCGCGGGTCCGCCATGGTGGGGGTGGTCTCCATCCTCGGCCTCTCCATGGCTGCGGACATGGAAACCACTGCGCTCGTCCCCCATGGGGTGCAGGTAGGCTGAGCTGTGCCAGGTGGTTGCACTTGGGGCTGGGATGCAGAAAGGAGTGGCTTATCATCAACCAGCAAATAAGCCCTCCAGTGGTTCTATAGAAGTGTGGTGAGAGGAAGAAGAACACACTTCGATAGAAAAGCACAACACTTGAGCTCTGACTCTAGACCGGAGTTCGGCACGATCAGTAACCACACTATTAATCGTATGAGTTTCATTCATACACCACCTTCGTCATGTCGCTTCCATTCAGGTGGACTGGGAGGCTTTACTCGTGTCTCGATTTGAAGACTTTAATGCCTCCATTGCTCCATGGCTCTTTGCCTCTACTCAAAGCTCACCCTGGGGTCTTGCCCCTATTGAGGGCGCCTTATCCACAACGCACCATGTCATTGCAGTGTTGAGCTACGATATAAAGCATAAAAGGTGACCATATGCTGGTTACCTTATTTCACAACATTTTTTAAATTGATGATGCGACATTAGGAAAGTGCAATTATGAGGGTACATTCCGCTGTGGACACTGTCCCAATCGAAAGTGTCCCAATCGAGTGTACCGCTCCAAACCGAACTAAACCTGAGACGCGAAAAATTCTACAATGTTTGAAACTAGGGTGTAATTCGGTGTGGGACGATGCAGCGTGGTAGAATCGATTGGGACACTTTCGATTGGGACAGTGTCCACAGCGGAATGTACCCTGAGAAGCACCAAAACTGATATTGAGCCACCTTGGACCATTACATTTTGTTAATGGTTTAGTCCCCGATTTAGCGGTATGCTTGCTTTGAATCAACGTGTGCACAGAAACATCTGTATATCGAAACACGTAATATGTCATGCCCTCGAGGGGGATGGTGCCGGAAAACGTTTTTTCCCTCCAAACGGTTGACGTGACAGGCAACTCAATTTTGAAACTTCCACAAGATCCGAGCCAATAGTGTTGCTGCCTGTCAGTAAACCTCACCTCACCATCACCACCCCATCCAACGCCGTAGATGTCAGGCACCTCTCCCGCGAAAACATGGTAACATGATCTCCACAGCAGAGTATGGTTTCTTTCCAACACTAGCGACAACTAAATCCGATCGCCAGAGCATCGGACGTTCTTCGCGGCTCCCCGCCGTCAGCGCACCTCCTCCGCCAACTTCCCCAAAGCTTGCCGCCCTGTCAGCGCAAATTTCCCGCAGCCAGACTGCACAGCGCGTTCCCTCCTTGGGGCTGTATCAGAGAAGGGGTCCATGGTGGCGACTTCCCTTCCCGCATATCCCTTTCTTTCGGCTCTCCACCACTCTCCTCTCGCTCCACTTCTCTTGGCTGCGTTCTGCAGGCACGACAGAGGTGGGGAGGCGGTAAGTAGGAACCTTCCCCCAACTGCGTTTTTTGGATCAAACGCTCGGTCAGCCCGGAAAACGATGGTAAATGGCAACAGAACAGCCATTTACACTCGTGGATATGAGGGCGTAGGAAGCTGCCTATTTCCCCACCCCAGCTTCCTTCTCTGGCAAAATTTGCCTCCTCCTCACCCCTTTCGGAAACTGCTCTTGCCCGGGATGTGAGACGGAGGGGGGAGGGATGCGCTGGGTTAGGGAACACCACGGTTGAACCCTAGAAATCAAAAAAGCATCTCCTTTAAGTAGCCCAAAAAGGGACGCATCAACCTAGGTAAAAAAAGCATAAGCCACCAACCTCCTCGAACAGAGTTGAAAACCCTTTTCTACGTGGTAGCCCTTGGCTAAACTTCAACCCTTTTTCTGATTTCGTTCAGTTCTCTGTACCCCACCTCTATCTCTTGGAAATTGTGGCTGTTTTTTCAGCATTTACCTTCAGCAGCTTCTCACCCTAAACCCGAAATTTCCAACTTTCGGTTGTAGCGGGGAGGGGGGGGGGGATTAGAAGGAGAAACTGCCTTAGAACCATCTGCCCCCCCACCTCCCTCCCAAGGGAGATGCCTGCAGAACGCAGCCCTTCTTTCATCTCCACTCCTCTCCACTCTTCTTCGCTTGATCATTCCCTCCGCCTTGTGGGTCGTGACTCATGAATCTGCTCCAACTCACATCACGGTTCTGAAGTTCGCCCGCCATCCGAAGTAGGGACAAGTGTAGACGGATGTACACGTCTGATTGGCTTCCATGCTCCAAGATATCTGGAAACTTGTGTGATGACCAATGATAGGGTGTTTTTACACGTCAGTGAGGGCCATTTTGAGCTGATGGCGGGCAAACTTCGCCCAGAACCGGACCTCACTTTCACTCACCTCACATTCCCTTCCATTCCAGCATCCCTCTCGCTTAGTTGTCCTCCGCGATTTCTTTCAGGCGCTTGCGTGGTAACGTCCGTCCATGACCGCTTCTTCAGTGACACGTACGTCAAAAATAGCAATCGCGCGAGACTAAGCTTAGGCTTTTGATCAAAGATTCCTAATTGAACGACCGTTAGTTCATTTTCTGGACGACCGTCAGATCGATTTCTCTAGAATGTGGTACTATCCCTGAATCTTGTTCAACGACGAGCAACTCGTTACTTCCACAGAATCTTGAAGCTAGGACTCCGTCAACTCCGTTTGAGCGAATATATCCCATCAACTTTGTTTAAGATCAATTTCTATTTGACGTCAGACTCTCGGCCTGAACATTCCTTACACGATGACGTTTCCCGTCGGGCATTCTTCGTCCTACGACGGCGTTCCGTGCTTAGGTTTCTTGTAGGACGATTCGACTTAGCATTTCGCGTTCGCGACGTTGCGACGGAAGATGTCCGCTGCAAATGACGCGAAGAGCATCTTCCCGAGTGCGAATCTCGCAGCATCTTTCTTCAACAAGCACATATTGGTCTCGCAGCATGCATGGTCGCTTCCAGCAACGAATCGTTGACGCAACAGCGACGTTAACAAAGACGCGACGCGACGCGACGCGACGCCGTCCGACTACGCTGATGACTACGCTTCCAACAACTAACAGATGCAGTCGCGCGACGCGCGACCACCATCCCGATGCATGATGGAAGAGATGTCGATGACACGCTTCGTGAAGTCGACGCGGATGCTCTTTCCAAGCTCGCGAAATCCCTGATGGCGGAGAAGCGTTTCGTCAACCCGAAAGAGCTTGCGAGGCCGTCGACGCTCGCGACAATGGGACGACGGAGGAGAAAAGAGCTGCGCGCAACGCCCCTACGAAGCTCGCGACGTCCCGAGCTTGAAGGAGGAGCCATTATATTGATCGACGGAGGAGGAGCAGCTTCGTGGATTGGACGACGCGAATACGTCGCCGCTCGCGCCGCTACTACTGTGAGTTTTTGTGCAAATCCCAGTTGCTATTTTGCTGCTCTCAGGAAACGCTCTCTTGAAGAGGAGTGTATCCAGTTGCTATTTTGCTGCTCTCTTGATGCTCGTGTCTCGTTTCCGCTCAGTCTTCTGACGATCGCGTTTCGTTTTTGACGGTCGCATATCTGACGGTCTTGATATCTCACATGTTGCGAATGTCTCTGTCCGTGCAGGAGCGATTCTGCAGTGAACTGGAGCTGGAGCGATGTCTCTTGCCAAGAAGATGCTTGCTGGCGTTGGTGCTGCCGAGAGGAGATGGCTGACTGGCGTTGCTCCGCGCACCTCCCCGCGCTCAAGCCGCTCCTCCAATCACAGCTCTTAGAGGCCATCACCGCCGCCCTCGCGCGCAAGCCCTCCGCGCGGATCGGAACCAGCGTGGGCGGCACATTCGGCTCGCTGACGGGCGCAGGCAGAGGCGGGAGCGGATCCGGGGGCTCGCTGACCCTCGGCGGAAGAGCCATCCTGAGCTGCCTGGCGTGCGGCGCGCTGACAGGCGCAGCGGAGCGGGGAGCAGCGCCAGGCCTGGCCCCTGGCGCTGGGGGCGGCGGGGGAGGAGCTTCTCGGGCGGCAGGGGCTGTTTCGGGCGGCGTGGGGGGCGGCAGCGGGCGGCGCAGCAGCGGCGCGGCAGCAATCAATGTCGACGGGAGGTACGACGCGCGACGACGGGACGAACACTGACGGTGCTTCATAGCGTGCCACTTCCAGGTACTTCTTGTTTTCACCTTGTTGGCGAGGAGGAGCGCTGGCGAGGAGAGAAGCGCTGGCGAGGAGAGGAGCGCTGGCGAGGAGAGGAGCGTTGGCGAGGAGAGGAGCGTTGGCGAGGAGAGGAGGGCTGGCAAGGAGAGGAGCGCTGGCGAGGAGAGGAGCGCTGGCGAGGAGAGGAGCGTTGGCGAGGAGAGGAGCGCTGGCGAGGAGAGGAGCGCTGGCGAGGAGAGGAGCGTTGGCGAGGAGAGGAGCGTTGACGAGGAGAGGAGCGCTGACGAGGACAGGAGCGCTGGCGAGGACAGGAGCGCTGCCGAGGAGAGGAGCGTTGGCGAGAAGAGGAGCGCTGGCGAGGAGAGGAGCGCTGGCGAGGAGAGGAGCGTTGGCGAGGAGAGGAGCGCTGGCGAGGAGAGGAGCGCTGGCGAGGAGAGGAGCGCTGGCGAGGAGAGGAGCGTTGGCGAGGAGAGGAGCGTTGGCGAGGAGAGGAGCGCTGGCGAGGAGAGGTGCGTTGGCGAGGAGAGGAGCGTTGGCGAGGAGAGGAGCGTTGGCGAGGAGAGGAGCGTTGACGAGGAGAGGAGCGTTGGCGAGGACAGGAGCGCTGGCGAGGACAGGAGCGCTGGCGAGGACAGGAGCGCTGGCGTGGACAGGAGCGCTGGCGAGGAGAGGAGCGCTGGCGAGGAGAGGAGCTTTGGCGAGGAGAGGAGCGTTGGCGAGGAGAGGAGCGTTGGCGAGGAGAGGAGCGTTGGCGAGGAGAGGAGCGTTGGTGAGGAGAGGAGCGCTGGCGAGGAGAGGAGCGCTGGCGAGGAGAGGAGCGTTGGCGCGGAGAGGAGCGCAGGCAAGGAGAGGAGTGCTGGCGAAGAGAGGAGCGTTGGCGAGGAGAGGAGCGCTGGCGAGGAGAGGAGCCCTGGCGAGGAGAGGAGCCCTGGCGAGGAGAGGAGCGCTGGCGAGGAGAGGAGCGCTGGCGAGGAGAGGAGCGCTGGCGAGGAGAGGAGCGCTGGCGAGGAGAGGAGCGTTTGCGAGGAGAGGAGCGTTGGCGAGGAGAGGAGCGCTGGCGAGGAGAGGAGCGTTGGCGAGGAGAGGAGCGCTGGCGAGGAGAGGAGCGCTGGCGAGGAGAGGAGCTTTGGCGAGGAGAGGAGCGCTGGCGAGGAGAGGAGGGCTGGCGAGGAGAGGAGCGCTGGCGAGGAGAGGAGCGTTGGCGAGGAGAGGAGCGCTGGCGAGGAGAGGAGCGTTGGCGAGGATGAGCATTGGCATGGGAAGGGGTGTTGGGTGGGGAGTGTGTACGTAAGGTAAAGCATGGGTGCAAGCATGCAGTGCGCTTTCGTAAGGGCAGCACCCTTGGGTGGTTTGTGGGTTGTTGTGCGGGGGTGGCTGGGGAACTAGCGCGGCGATGGCCCTCGGTGCTCAAGTAACGAACCTGCGCGTTAAAGCACAAAATGCCCTGCTGGAGCCGAGCCGGCAGGCTCTGGTTCGGGCAAGCTCATGCTACGCCAGGGGGTGGATTTGAGTCTTGTGCCAGTTCGCGCTTTTCCGCTTCCGCTCTTTGCACCTCAAAATACATCCACTCGAGAGGTGATGTTCCCGAGAGGGGGTGACTGTATGCTCCTCCTTGTGCTCGCAAGGTGGGACAGATGGCCGTTGGTTCCCAATGGCCATCGGTGGTAAACATTTTTTCCCGAACGTCGAACCTCCACCTCATCGTGGTGTTCGGGTGAACATCGGGGCAGCAGTCCTGATGGCCAAGAGATGTTCATTGTGGCCCCATGCCTTTCTTTTATATGCGGAGTCCGATTGATCTCTACAGGTATCCTGAATTTGCCTTGATGCGATAATTTCGTTGGACATTTTGTGTCATGTACCGTAGTTTATATGTTGATGTTGTGAATGTTTCTGTTAGGGTATTGGCTTTGAACATTGTGCCTTCAGAGACATTGGACACTGGACTAGGCAGTTTCTGTGCCTTGTTCTCTCCTGATTATCCTTCGGTACCAGTGACCATACGGTATGGTTATGTGAGTTGTAAGCACTCTGCAACAATTAACGTACATGATAGAAACGTAAGCACTGGCACAATAAGTACAGGATGTAAATCACAGAATATTCTATGCATTACCAGAGCCTAGACATAGGGGTACAGCATTTCCTCAAAGCAGGGCTGGCCCTGGGAACGCACGCACTAAGGGCGTATTCCTGCACTTTGGGTCATCAGCAATTCGGGCCATCCGAAATTGTGAGATCCAATCGGAAATTCGGAATCAAGAGATTGGGGTGCATTCCGATTTTCCTATTGGATCCCACAATCTCGGATGATCCGAAGTGCTGATGACCCGAAGTGCAGGAATACGCCCTAAAGCTGCAAGGCTTCACAACAGGATTGTTCGCAGGAGTGTCGCAACAACCTTAGTCGCTGTCTTTGTCACAAAGACTTCGTCGCGAGACCAAGTGATAAAGTCGTCGAATCAAGGCGAACGTCGAATTCGTTTGATACAATCATCGGCTAAGGAGGAAAGACGGATTATCGTCGAATTTTCGTAGTACTATAGCGAGCTCGACTCATCTCTCCAATACATCGATCAGCGTCAATGCGGACCTCCTAAGATCGTCGTAACCTCCCACCCGTCGCACATTGTTTGCGCGAGTCTATCCGTCAGCGATACCTCTTACTGATGGTTTCCAGGCGCCTCAAACTCACACTCCGCCTCGCTTAGGCCTTGTGCGATGGCGCCGTCGCTTCGCGCGATCCGTGCGACGTTCGTGTGCCTTTCGCTGAACCTGACGCTGTGCAATGTCTTCACCGGACGCTACTATACCGCACCGACTCTCCCTTTCCCCGCAACTCGCAATCGGGAGGGTGAATCGGCGGAAGCAGCGGGGTTCGTGCTGCCGAGCTCGGCGCGCAGCTGCGACGACGATGAGAGGATCAGCGCAGCCAAGGGGTTGGTACCCTCACTGAACGAACTCACCTGGTGCGTTCCACTCTGACTTCCTTTGCTTTCAGTCGTCCCTGCCTGGTTCGGCTGCGCTCTGGAAATCCTTCCGCTGCGCTTCGTTCCCACTTGTTCTGAAACTCCCCTTGTCGTCGTAGGTGTCAACACCCCACTCATGCCACGTCATTTCCTGCCATGCCACGTCATGTGCAGGAGTCCCGGTTTATGCGACTGGGAAATGCACCTGATTGCATCAGTGCCAAAGCAGAGGACCGCACCACAGCGCCAGGATCACCAACGCAGGGGCATCCGCACCTGCCTCCTCCCTCTCATTAAAAAGGGTACGCCAACAGTCCTCTCACAATCTCCCCACCCCACACCCCTCCCCTCCCATCAACCATACCTCCCCCGCCCCCCCTACCCGCCTCCCCTTTAACCCCCCCCCGTGCACCTGTGACCTGCCCCCATGCCATGTTCCCCACTGTCTTTCCCCTTGCAAATTTTAGACGTCTCATTGCACCACCATCTCTCTCTCATTCGTCACCACTGCGGCATTCTACAAGCATTGCGCCGCCTTGTGAACTCAATCTTTTTCCTCCTCCTCGTCGTCTCCATTCTCCACCATTCCAACTCCTCCCTTCCCACCACAGGAACCAAGCTGTTCAAACTCCTTTCTCCGCCGTCCCCCTCTGCTCCCCCTCCCCCCGCGTGTGCTTCCCCCTCCTCTGGCCGAGGGGAGAAGCTGCTGCTGGGGGGAGCGGACCTGTGCGCCCTGATGCGCGCGGATGGGGGGAAGAGTGGCTTGGCTGGCGGTGGGGGAAAGGGAGCTGCGGATGAGAGCAAGGGGGAGCGCAGAGGAGCGGTGGGGGGTTCAGAAGCAACCGTTGAGAAGGGGGGAAAGAGCGGAGATGCGTCGGAAATAGGGGGACATGGGGGGGAGCAGAAGAAGGGACGTGGGGGCAGTGGGGACCAAAAGGGGCATGAAGCGACCAGGAGGCGCAAGGGAGAGGAGGAGGAGGGCGAGGATGTGGAGGAGAGAGACGGGGGACTGAAAGGAAGGGAAGGAGTGAAGAAAGGGAGGGAGCAGGCGAAGCCGACAGTCAAGGGAAGTGAAGGCGGGGATGAGAAGGGGAGTGGTGGTGGTGGGGTTGGGGAAAAGAGAAAAGGGGTGAAGGGGAAGGAAGGGGGCCGTGAGAAGGAGAAGCAAGGCGGGCAGGTGAACAAGGAGATGATGATTCGAGCAGCCATCAGCATGGTAAGTGCTGCAATCAGCAAGAAACTTCGCATATTCCATCCACCCTACATTGCAGCACATGCCATCCATCGTACGCCATTCGCATGCCAAAATGCCGCACTACAATGCATCCTTTTGGTACTCTCAATTCATCATACGTCCCTCCTCTCCCCCATTGTGGCTTGATCTTATTCATGCCCTCAGATGCAAGCCAAGAAGTTCCAGGAAGCGATCAACCTCTTCAACCAGGTGCGGCCCCCCACTCACCCTCGTGAGCCCACCCCACTCACCCTCGTGAGCCCACCCCACTCACCCTCGTGAGCCCACCCCACTCACCCTCGTGAGCCCACCCCACTCACCCTCGTGAGCCCACCCCACTCACCCTCGTGAGCCCACCCCACTCACCCTCGTGAGCCCACCCCACTCACCCTCGTGAGCCCACCCCACTCACCCTCGTGAGCCCACCCCACTCACCCTCATGAGCCCACCCCACTCACCCTCGTGAGCCCACCCCACTCACCCTCGTGAGCCCACCCCACTCACCCTCGTGAGCCCACCCCACTCACCCTCGTGAGCCCACCCCACTCACCCTCCACTCCCCACCAGGCTCTCTGAGTCCCCTTCACTCGCTTTATCTCGGGGTCCGTCTACCCCTCCCCGTGTTTTTTGAGAATTCTCAAAAAACACGTGCTGCAACATATCTACCCCTCCCCATCTCGCATGTCTATTCCACTCTCTCTTTCTGCTGTGGCTGGCTCACTCAACCCCCGCACCGCACTCAACCCCTTGCCTATTCCTCCCTTACGCCGTTTACCTCGCTTCCCCTCCCCTCCCGTTACCACATCCCTTTCCACCCTGTTCTGTCTCCTCTCCCACTCGTCCTCCTCTAACCTCCCCTTGAGGCGCCTCTGAAATAGAGGTCGTCCTTTACACACCCTCTCCACCCTCCCTGTCTTTCCTTCGTCCTTCTCCCTCCTCCCTCCTCTCTCCTCCTGTATCTACCCACAGGTGGAGGCGGAGGGCGGCGAGCTGTCAGACCAGCTGTACATCGGCAGGGGCCTCTGCCACCTGATGCTCAAGCTTCTTCCCTTCTTACACGCTTCCCAACTTTCTCCCTACTCCCTTCTGCCTCCTCTCTCCCACCACAGGTGGAAGCAGAGGGCGGCGAGCTGTCACATCAGCTGTACATCGGCAGGGGTCTCTGCCATCTGTTCCTCAAGTCAAGCGGAGGGGGATGGTCTTCTTACAGGTTTCCTTCCTTCCTCCCCTCTCTCTACCCTCTCGACAGGTGGAAGCGGAGGGCGGGGAGCTGTCGGACCAGCTGTTCATCGGCAGGGGCCTCTGCCACCTGATGCTCAAGCGGATGGATGAGGCGGAAGACGACTTCACAGAGGTGAGCTCATTCTCCTTCTTTAGAGGCGCCTCAAAACCGCGAGACATGAGACGACTTTTGAGGCGCCTCAAAATTCGGCAGGGGCCTCTGCCAAGCGATTCGATGAGGCAGAAGACGACTTCACAGAGGTGAACTCGTTTTCAAATTCCCAACTCTTCAATCCGCCCGGTCTACCTGGTTCAACCTACCTGTCTTGAGTTGACTTTTGAGTCGACTCAAAAGTTAATCCGCCCGGTCTACCTGGTTCAACCTACCTACCTTCAACCTTCCTGTATTGCAACTTCTGAGTCGTCTGAACTTTCCCCCACCCCATCCCCCTCTCCATGCTGCCCCACACCACAGGGCATTCAGCGCTTCCCCAGGAGTGCGGAGCTGTACAGGCGGAGGGCCATGCTGCATATTGAGAGGAACGAGCGCGAGATGGTGCGTGCCTCAGCTGCTCTGTCTTCCCGTGAATGGCACAGCTATGTTGCGCCTGACGCGTCAGGCGTTTTTGACGCTGGCGTCTGGACGGGGCGTCCAGACGCTTGACGCCCGGTGCCCTCTGCCCTGGACGCCCGCTTGACGCTAGTCCGGGCAGGGCAAAAATGTTTTCCGGGCAGGGGTAAAAAAACCTGCCTAGTAAGGATACGCAGGGGTTAGAATGCAAGAAGTTAACATTTGTCACCTATAGTTATAAATACTCCATAATATCCAGAAAATCCTGAAAATCTCCAGAAGGCGTGGAGGCACTAACAGAATGACTGGCGGGACTAGGAGTTGACATGATATCTTAATCGCCTTAACCTAATTTTAGCTAGGAAGGCTTAGTAGCGTGACTGGCGAATTCTAGTGTAAGGAATTCTTGACAATGTCGAGAGAAACAGATCTGTGTAATGTCGGCCTAGATCTGGTTCTCTAGTTTAGTTGGGGGTCGACCAGGTTGGGAGAGGTAGATGTGGATGGGTACAAATGTGTGGGGGGGAATAAGTGAGGGTTGCGTTTTTTAGGTCAAAAACGCGGCCCCCAGATGGCAATTTCATCGTCAATTCTGGTCGCAATGAAATTGCGAGTCAATTTCGTGCAGGATAATTTTTTTTCGGGCTGCCCGAAATTTTTTTGCCCGAAATTTTTTTTCCAGGGCGTCAGGCGCAACATAGTGGCACAGTGTGGGGTTGAGTGTTCATGTGAGCGCATGCGAGTAAGTGTGTGAGCGGGCGGGAATAAGTGAGTGTGTGGGTGTGCATGTTTGCATGTGGATGAAGGCGCCTCAACACAACACAACAATCCTCATGCCCGATCTCCATAAACGTCTGCCCAGATATTGGGGCAGTCCTAAAAAATGCATCTCTCGTCTTGCACCTCTTCCCATTGCCCGTTATCCCGCACCCAATGGCAGGCCGTGGAGGATCTGAGTCGGTCGCTGGAGATCGAACCCGACAACCAGGACGCGCTGCAACACCGCGGTGAGACTCATGCGCTGGCAGCATAGGGGTAACACTTGTATGCTGGCCAATGGGGTGTGTGTGAGGCTGCACCCTTGGCATGGCACGTCACACCCAACAGCAGGCAGTGGATGACCTGAGTCGGCTTTTGAGGCGCCTCAAAAGGCAGTGGATGACCTGAGTCGGTCGCTGGATGACCTGAGTCGGTCGCTGGAGATCGAGCCTGACAACCAGGACGCCCTGCAGCACCGCGGTGAGACTCATGTGCTGGCCGAGGGGGTGTGGTGTGGTGTGGTGTGGTGCAGCACTGAGGTAAGACCTGTGTGCTGACAGACAGTGAGCTTGTGGTGTAGGGCTGCACCCTTGCATGGCATGGCAAGCCTGAGTCGGTCGCTGGAGATCGAGCCGGAAAACCAGGACGCCCTGCAACACCGCGGTGAGACTCATGTGCTGGCAGCACAGAGGTAACACCTGTATTCTGGCCAAAGGGGTGTGTGTAAGGCTGCACAATTGGCATGTCATGCCTTGGCATGGCACACCCAGCACCAGGCAGGCATAATTGCCCTTCACCTGCAGTTCAGCACGGCCCTTGCAACCAGCGCCGTGTGACCCACAACCAGCCCCTCCCTTCCACCCTCTATCTACCCATTCCTATGCGGGCATCATTGCCTTCCACCTGCACCCGTACAGCATGGACAATCGCAACGAATTCCATGCAATGCAACTAAACTTGTGTGACCCACCACAGCCAGCCGCTACCCTTTCCCCCTTCATCTACCCATGCCCCAAGCAGGCATCATCGCCTTCCACATACACCTGTACGGCATAGCCATCGCTGATCTATCCAGGGCGCTGGACATGCGACCCATGGATGCCTACCTCATCCGCGCCAAGGTGCGAACTTCTGCACCTACGTTACCCATTGACCTTCATTGACTTGTAATGACTTGTCATAACCTGAGTCCTGGTCTGCAATAACCTGCATTGTCCTGCCTCCCTCCTCCCCTCCCTCCCTCCCTCCCTCCTCCCCTCCCTCCCTCCCTCCCTCCTCCCCTCCCTCCCTCCCTCCCTCCTCCCCTCCCTCCCTCCCTCCCTCCTCCCCTCCCTCCCTCCCTCCCTCCTCCCCTCCCTCCCTCCCTCCCTCCTCCCCTCCCTCCCTCCCTCCTCCCCTCCCTCCCTCCCTCCTCCCCTCCCTCCCTCCCTCCTCCCCTCCCTCCCTCCCTCCTCCCCTCCCTCCCTCCCTCCTCCCCTCCCTCCCTCCCTCCCTCCCTCCTCCCCTCCCTCCCTCCCTCCTCCCCTCTCTCCCTCCCTCCTCCCCTCCCTCCCTCCCTCCCTCCTCCCCTCCCTCCCTCCCTCCCCCCCTCCCTCCGTCGCACAGGGCATAGCCCTGGCGGGGGCAGGGCAGTGGCGCAACGCGAGCGCCGTGTTTGCGGAGGCAGTGAAACGCCACCCGATGTCGGCGCACCTGTGGACGGAGAAGGGCCGCGTGCACAAGGAGCTGGGGGAGGTGGATTTGGCGCTTGCTGCCCTTCACAAGGCTCTGGCGCTGGAAGAGTGAGTTGGGGAGTGGGAGAGGCCGAGCTGGGCTGGGAAAAAGGGAGATGGGGGGTTGGGAAAAGGGGCAGTGAGGCGCCACCCGATGTCAGCGCACCTGTGGACGGAGAAGGGGCGCGTGCACAAGGAGCTGGGGGAGGTGGACTTGGCGCTTGCTGCCCTGCATAAGGCTTTGGCTCTGGAAGAGTGAGTTGGGGAGTTGGGGAGTGAGTGGCGGGTGAAAGAGAAGGACAGTTGGGGTTGGTAGAAGAGGCAGTGAGGCACCATTTGATGTCAGCGCACCTGTGGACGGAGAAGGGGCGCGTGCACAAGGAGCTGGGGGAGGTGGACTTGGCGCTTGCTGCCCTGCATAAGGCCCTGGCTCTGGAAGAGTGAGTTGGGGAGTAGGGGACGGGGAGGGTGGGGGATTGGGAGAGAGACGCCATCCGATGTCGGCGCACCTGTGGATGGAGAAGGGGCGCGTGCACAAGGAGCTGGGGGAGGTGGAGCTAGCCTTGGTCGCTCTGCACAAGGCACTGGCGCTGGAAGAGTGAGTGGGGGTTGGGAGAGAGAGAGTGGGGGTTGGGAGAGCGGGAGAGATTGGGTTGGAAGAGCAGGGGATGAAGGCAGAGAGGAGGAGGGGCATCCCCCATGCTCCGGAAGAGGCTACACCCAGCTACTTACCCTTTCTTCCCCCATGCTCTCACAGCATCCTGCCATGCTCTCACAGCATCCTGCCATGCTCTCACAGCATCCTGCCAGCCAGCCTCGGTCCCAAGGCTCGCTGCAGGCAATCAATCCATCACCACCCAATGGCCCCATTCTCATCACACTCCTTCCTCCCCCCATCCTCCCCCCATCCCCCATCCAGCACGCTGGAGGCGTACATCCGCCTCACATCCCTCATGCAGCTGGTGGGCCGCCACAGGTGAGGCTGGGGGGAGCTCCTAATGTTCCTGCTACTCCTGCTGACTCCCGTTGACCCCTGTTGACTCTTGTTGGGCTCCCTTTTACTCCTCCTGTTTTTTAGCAACTTTCGTGATTCACTTGAAATATCCGCACTTCGCTCGACTCCCGTTGACTCCTCCCAACTCCCCTTGACTCCCGTTGACTCCTTTTGACTCCCGTTGACTCCCGTTGACTCCCGTTGACCGCCATCGACCAGGGAGGTGATAACCACAGCGAGGAGGGGTTTGAAGCTGAATCCCAACGACATCGAGCTCAACTACCTGGAAGCTTCCGCGCACCATGCGCTGGGTGACTTTGAGGCAGCGGTAAGTGAAGATTTTCACTCCACCCATGAGTCTCAATCTGCCTGCCCTCTCAGGCTCTCACTCCACTTGGCTTGCTTTGTCATTTTCTTCCTTCTTTTGCAGTCTCTGCTCGCAAGCCCTCTTCCTGTGCTAGGCTAGCCATTCACTCATTCACTCCACCATTCCTCCACCCTCCACCCCCCTTCCTCTGCCCCCTGTCTATCCATCCGCAGCTGCATCACTCACTCACTCACTCAGCCCTCCACCCCCCTTCTCTAATCCCCATCCGCCTGCAGCTGCATCAGTATACGTACATCCTCGCCCTCTGTCCCTCCCTGGTGGTTTGGTTTGCTGCTGTGTCAATCACTCGCTCACTCCGCCCTCCACCCCTCCTTCTCCGTCCCCCTCCGCGTCCATTCCTCTGCAGCTGCATCAGTACACGCACATCCTCGGCCTCTCGCCCACAGACAGCAACACCGGCACTCTTCAGGGCATGGCGTTTTACCAGGTACTGAGCGCTTTTGTGCTGCGTTGAGTGGTGCTGAGCAGTTTCGTGCTGCGTTGAGGTGCTGTGCGGTTCCGTGCTGTGTAGTGTGGTGCTGAGCAGTTCCTTACTGTGTTGCATGGTGCTGTGCAGTTCCGTGCTGTGCTGTGTGGTGTGGTGTGCAGTCAGCCAACTGGCATGAAGCTGGGCCTGGTCTTTGCACTCGTGCTCACCCCCATCATCCCCATCACCCCCATCACCCCCGTCACCCCCATCACCCCCATCACCCCTATCACCCCCATCACCCCCATCACCCCCGTCACCCCCATCATCCCCATCACCCCCGTCACCCCCATCACCCCCATCACCCCCATCACCCCCATCACCCCCATCACCCCCATCACCCCCTTCACCCCCATCACCCCCATCACCCCCATCACCCCCATCACCCCCATCACCCCCATCACCCCCATCACCCCCACCCCATCACCCCCATCATCCCCGTCACCCCCGTCACCCCCATCATCCCCATCACCCCCATCACCCCCATGATCTTGCTCCTATGTACTTTCTCTCCCTCTTCCCCTTCTGATCTTTCCTTGCTGCCACTGTTTGTTACCACAGCCCATTCTAGGAACATTCCATTCCAGGCTACCCAGTATCCAAGCTGGACCCTCTTAAACAGTTCTCCTCGTCTCCCCTCCCCCTCCCATCGCATCCACCATCAGAGGGAGATAGCAGCGTACACGGTATCCAAGCTGGACCTTCCATTTGCACAGTTCCGCCTGGACTACGAGCTCAACAATGAACTCAAGGTGTGGTTCTTCTGCTTTTAGTTATAGTAAGTGAACCAATTCACAAGGCACCTCGCCATTCGTAAGTGAACCAATTCACAAGGCACCTCGCCATTCGTAAGTGAACCAATTCACAAGGCACCTCGCCATTCGTAAGTGAACCAATTCACAAGGCACCTCGCCATTCGTAAGTGAACCAATTCACAAGGCACCTCGCCATTCGTAAGTGAACCAATTCACAAGGCACCTCGCCATTCGTAAGTGAACCAATTCACAAGGCACCTCGCCATTCGTAAGTGAACCAATTCACAAGGCACCTCGCCATTCGTAAGTGAACCAATTCACAAGGCACCTCGCCATTCGTAAGTGAACCAATTCACAAGGCACCTCGCCATTCGTAAGTGAACCAATTCACAAGGCACCTCGCCATTCGTAAGTGAACCAATTCACAAGGCACCTCGCCATTCGTAAGTGAACCAATTCACAAGGCACCTCGCCAAAGTGCACGACCAAATCTACCCTTTGCTGGATCTACCCATCCAGCTTGGATGAGCCGGCTTGCAGTTATAGTGAGTCGACTCCCAAGGCAAGGCACCTCGTCACAGTGCATGGCTGGATATACCCTACCCACACTCCCGCCTGGACCATGAGCTGAACGATGAACTCAAGGTGTGCCCCCGTTCCTGTAGCTTTGTAGCAAGTCGACTCACAAGGCACCTTGGCACAGGGCATGGCTGGACCTTCCGTTTGCACAGTCCCGCCTGGGCTACGAGCTTATCAATGAACTCAAGGTGTGCCTCTCTGCCCACAAATGATTGATTCTACTTCCACCTCATCACACACTGCACTGCCAGACCTACCCTTTTCTCAGTTTGGCCTGGACTACAAGCTCAACGAACTCAAGGTGTGGCCCTCCTGCAGTGCAGTGCAGGTGCAGTGCGGTGCGGTGCAGTGCAGCGCAGTTGCCCCTCTCAATCCTCCCTGTCTAACAACCCCTCCCCATCGGCCTCCACCGAAACCCCCATCGCATCTCCCTTTGCAACCCCAGTGTGCACGCTGGATGTCTTGCGAACGCATTAACCGTCCTACCCGGCTACCGCCCCCTCCCCATCCGCCTCGTGCGCAACCACCCGTGCCCTCCCCTCCCCACATCTCCACCCTTGCGCATGCTAACTGCCCGTCACACACGCTCTAAGTCCCATCTCAACCCCCTGTCCTCTCCCCTGCGCTCCCCCTCCCCCCTGGCAGGAAGCATGGGTGCGCAAGCAGTCGCTCCTCTCCATCCTCCCCGCCTACCGCCCCCTCCCCATCCGCCGCTCCCCTTGCCCTCCCCACATGTCCCCTGCACTCCCCTTTCTCCCTACCAGGAAGCATGGGTGCGCAAGCAGTCGCCCCTCTCCATCCTCCCCGCCTACCGCCCCCTCCCCATCCGCCTGGTTCGCAACCCCCCTCGCATCCGCTTCTCCCCCCAAGTGCGCGCTCTCATTGCCAAGGCGGACGAAATCGGGCGGCGCACGCAGTACTTTGTGGACGGCTTCATGCCGCACAAAAGACAACACCGCATGGCGGGGCTTGCCGCCCTGGATCTGATGCAGAGGGTGAATGCCACGTGGCAGCATATGATTGAGGAACAGAAGCCAAGAGATGGGGATGGGGAGCAGGAGGGTGAGAGGCTAAGGGAAAGCGAGGGTGACGACAGGGATAGCAGGAACAACAGGAATATCAATGGTGAAAGTGATGGTGATGGTGATAGTAGTGAGGGGAGCAGTAGCGGAAGGAGCACCAAGGACAGAAGAGCAAGTGGGGGAGGGGCACAGAGAGGGTCCCGACGGAAAACACCCCGAGTGTCCCTCCAATCCTCCGCAGCAGGGAAGAGATCCAAGGGTCGAGATAAGCCCGCCGGCTCATCTGGCCGATCCAACGGTGCACAGCTGATCTCCGGGTGGAGAGACATGTTCGACGGAATCATACGGTGGAGGCAGCACGCCGAACCCTGCGATACAATCACATGGATCGACCAGCTCAAAAACGAGTACCCCAAGGGCTTCGGTACAATCACAGCCATGCGGGTCGGGCAGATGCACAACCTGAAGTACTACCCGTTTCAGGACTGGGCGTTTGAAGTCATGAGATCCGTTCTGCTGGAGACTGAAATGGCTTCGAATGCAACCAACTGGCCTCTGCCGGTGCCGCGGCGGGTGCACGGGAAGGCGATCGAGGCGGCGGGGGATTTCGGGGATTTACACCGCGTGGTGGGGGAGAACTTCTATGTTACCACACAGTGTTACAGCGAGGCGTTTCCCGGGCGAGTGATGAACGGCACCCAGCTGACTCTCGTGGAGGCATCAGGTATTGCCGTCACCTGGCAGGTATTGTGAGGCGCACCTGTTGTTGAGGCGCTTCAAAGACTGTCTCTTGATTTGAGTCACCCAGTACTGCCTGCTGCTACTGGCCCTCTGTACCTCCAACTCTAAAGCATGGATCAGACCAGAATCCCCCGCCGTTGTATATTCTGCCTGGTTCATTAACACCCTCTTGTGAACCCGAATTTCCTATGGCCTACCTAACCACTCATCCACCCCTCCTTCCTTCCCCCACCAGGCTCGTACGACTTCACCATTCGTACAGCCGTCACACCCGAGCGCAGCGCGGAGTTCTTTCAGGAGCTGCACAAGACATGGGAGGAGCTCAGTGAGGCAGCCACCGACACACACATGTACCCCTCTTCCTCTCTTTCCCTCTCCTACTCCCCGCCAGGCTCCTACGACTTCACCATTCGTACAGCGGTCACGCCTGAGCGCAGTGCAGAGTTCTTCGAGGAGCTTCAGCGGACATGGGAGGAGCTCAGTGAAGCAGCCACCGACTCGCACACACGGGCCACCGACATGCACCAGCCTCACTGCCCTCTCTCCTGTACCTCCACCCCTTGTGTTCCCGCCCTCTCCCACCTTCCCCCCCCCCCCCTCTCCCAGGTTCCTAAGACTTCACCATTCGTACAGCAGTCACGCCCGAGCGCAGTGCTGAATTTCTCCAGGAGCTGCACAAGACATGGGAGGAGCTCAGTGAAGCCGCCACACCCTGGCTGGCACCTATGCCGACACACACCTGCATCACTACCCCCTGTGTTTCCTCCCTCCCAGGCTCATACGACTTCACCATTCGTACAGCCGTGACACCCGAGCGCAGCGCAGAGTTCTTTCAGGAGCTGCAGAGGACATGGGAGGAGCTCAGTGAGGCCGCCACAGACACACACACACAGACCACCGACGTGCTCCTGTACCGGCGGCGAGTGAGGGAGGGCGTGCTGCGGATGGGATACTACTGGTATCAGTTCATGCCGCTCACCCGCGGGTCGGCGATGGTCGGCATTATTTCTATTCTCGGCCTCTCCCTGGCCGCTGACATGGAGACGCTTTCGCTCATCCCCAAGGATGTCCAGGTGCGTTCTGCTTTGAGCTTCTTTGGAAGATTCTGAGGTGTGCACTGAGTTGGGCTGAACTGGGGTGTTAGCAAGGCGATCATAACCATTCTCTGCTCCCCACGCTTCCCTCTCCGCTTGCATGGAAACGCCCTCCTTCATCCCCAAGGACATTCAGGTGCCCTCTCAGGTGCTTATGAGGAATCTCAGAAGTGGCGCTGAGTATGTTGGGGCACTCATGTCATTGGGTTGAGTTGAGGCAGTGCATCAGTAGGGAGGAGAAAACGCATGGCTAACCCTTTCACGTTCCTCCCTCTTCCCCCTTAACGCCTGCCCACTTCTCCCGTTCCTCACTTCATGCCCCCCCGACTCCCTTTTCCTCTCATGACCCAGGTGGACTGGGAGGCGATATTAAATCCGCGTTTTAAGCAGTTCAACGACTTTGTGCTCGCTGGCTGTACGACAAGTCGAGTGTCAGACTCTGCTGTGCCATCTCCAATCTCCCTTCCCTTCACCTCATGCCTTCACCTAATCTTCTCCCCTTCCCTCACCTCCCCCTCTTCCTCTCTTCAACCAGGTGGACTGGGAGGCGATCCTAAATCCGCGTTTTAAGCAGTTCAACGACTCAGTATCGCCCTGGTTTTACAGCAAGGTTGCCCCCGCGCCCTGGCACTTGCCACGTGTCAGCGAGGCATTGCCCACCACACGCCACGTCATCGCTGCACTCAGCTATGACCTGGAATCTGACGTCTATGACGATGATAAAGGTGGCAAAGATGCTGATGATTATGAGGATTGAGAGGTTACTGTTGAAGTTCACTTGGATTTATTCTTAAAACAGTAATGATTTCTGACAAGCAGGTTTCTGTGTTGAAGGCAGCTTACTCTGCAGCATTTTTTTCTGTACTTAATTGTTATCGCGGTTATTCGTATGGCGAGATTCACGCATGCCTCTGCCAGTTATGCTCTTGGCCAGGTAGGCCCATCGAGAGACCAAAATCGCGCCACTCGACCGAGTAGTTCTCTCAGCGGGAATTTCTGCACTTGAAGGTTCCGCCCATCGCGCGGGGGAATCGCGGGAGAGAAACTCCTTCTGCCGTTACCACTCGGCAATGTATTGGATTAGAGCCAGGGTCCCATGCGCCGCGCAGCCGCGCTCCGTTGCGCTACTAACTGCCTGCGCCGCGCAATCTTGCAGCTCGCGGCAAACTCCTGCGCCCGTCTGTCCCGCTTTAGCGCGCAACTCCCGCGCAGTATTACTACTTCCCCGCGCCAATAACCGCGTGGGTTCCCCGTGTGCGAACACAGCCGCTCGTTTTTCGCGCGCAGAATTGCGCGCCAGGCGGGATATAGACTCAGGTTCGATCAATTCGCGTAGCTCATCGGGGATAAGGCCGCTGACGTGGCAGCAGCAGCAGCGGCAGCACCAGGAGAGGCGAGGGGTTCAGGGTAGCAGAGGGGACAGAGAGGAGCGGCGAGGGTTCAGGGTTTATGCTGGGGCGAATTCCGAGGAGGAGCGATGGAGCCTGAAACGTGCGGGAAGCGGGCTGGATGGAAGTGATACTAGCGAAAGTGACTTTAATCACATTAAAGCCAGGGGTGACTCTAAGGGGGCCGGGTTGGAGAGTGAGGGAAGCGGAGAAGAGGAGAAGAGAGGGAGAGGAGTTAAGGGGGAAGGAGGGGAGGTGGAGGGAGATGGAGGGGAGGTGGGGCAGGGTCAAGTGAAGAAGCCACTGCACGTGGTGCTCGTGTGCCCTCAGGTGATTGGCTCATGTGCTGCCACGTGTGATTAGCTTGCAGTGCTGCCACGTGTGATTAGCTTGCAGTGCTGCCACGTGTGATTAGCTTGCAGTGCTGCCACGTGTGATTAGCTTGCAGTGCTGCCACGTGTGATTAGCTTGCAGTGCTGCCACGTGTGATCACAATTCCCAGCTTTTCAATCCCCCCCGCCCCACTCCTCTCTCACACCTCTCCCCTCCTCCACGCCCTCACTTAGTTCTCTGCACAATACAAGGTGCATCGTTGCCTGCACACACTTTTCCTGCGAGTTGAATTGTGTGGCGTGACGACTGTGTGCATGCAAGACGTCTCAAAAATACTCTTTTTTCACGTGACGGTTGTGTGCATGCAAGACGTCTTACTATTGTTAGATCCCTTTGAATCCCCTCCCCTTTCCCCCTCCCCCCTCCCCACTCCCTCCTCCCCCTTCCCCCACACACAGATCCCCGGCAACACAGGGTCCATGGCACGCACATGCGCCGCATTCCTTCGTGCGTGCACAGCAACTCCTTATTCTCAGCTCCATCCTTCTCCCCTCTCACACACACACACTCCCAGATCCCAGGCAACACAAGGTCCATTGCACGCACATGTGCTCCATGCCCGTGTAAAGGCATAGCAACTCGTTATTGTCACACATCCTCTCTTCCCTTCCCCGCAAAACGTGCGCTGCAGATCCCTGGCAACACCGGGTCCATTGCACGCACGTGTGCTGCCACGGCCGTTCCCCTGCACCTGGTCAAGGTGGGTGCGTGTTGGGAGAAACAGGAGAGGGAAAGGTGGAGGTATGTCTCGCATGGGATGGGGCAGTGGGAGGAGGCTTGAGTTGGGGAACGGGAGAGGGAAGGTTGGGTGTGCTGGTGCGTGGTGGTGAACGTGCCCGCAGCTTCTTCGAGACGGCTCAAAACAGATTCCTTATCGCCCTGCTCGTCCTCTCCCTGCCTTCCAGCCTCTAGGATTTGTCATAACGGACTCGAAGCTCAAGCGGGCAGAGCTGGACTACTGGCCATACGTGATGGTGAACTCCTTATAGCACACACTATGCACGACATCTCTTTGTGCTCCCCTCCCTGCTCCCCCTCTCCTTCCTGTCCTCCAGCCCCTGGGATTTGACATCACGGATTCAAAGCTTAAGCGGGCAGGGCTGGACTACTGGCCATACGTGGTGGTGAATTCCTTATAGCACACACCATGCATGACATCTCTTTGTGCTCCCCTCCCTGCTCCTCCTCCCCCCGCCCTGCCGCCCCTGGGATTTGGTATCACGGACTCTAAGCTCAAGCGAGCAGGGCTGGACTACTGGCCGCACGTGGTGGTGAGCGTGCATGCAGCTGATTTAAGAAATCTCAGGACACTTTTATTATCACCCTGCTCCCCGTTTCCTGCCGTCACTGCAGCCCCTGGGGTTTGACATAACGGATCCAAAGCTCAAGCGGGCAGGGCTGGACTACTGGCCCTACGTGATGTCACATTATGAGTCATCTCACCCATGCTCTCCCTGCCCTGCAGCCTCTGGGATTCGACATTACGGACTCGAAGCTCAAGAGAGCGGGGCTGGACTACTGGCCGTACGTGGTGGTGAACGTGCACGACAGCTGGAGGGTGTTCATGGAGTATTTCAGGCAGCAGGTGAGTCCACGCGTGTGTTGAAGACGAGTCCTGTTCCTCTCCCCTCTCTGCCCGTACGTGGTGTGGTGGTGAACATGCACGACAGCTGCGGGGCGTTCATGGAGTATTTCAGGCAGCAGGTGGGCCCATGCATGTGTTGACAACAGGTGATGTTTTGTCTCCCCTCTCTGCCCGTGTGTGGTGGTTTTTGAGTCGACTCAAAAATCAACTCGTGGTGGTGAGCGTGCATGACAGCTGGGGCTGCTGGTTCATGGAGTATTTCAACCAGCAGGTGAGCCTCTGGAGTCAACTTGTAGATTGACTCACAGCTTAAGAGGGCAGGGCTGGACTATTGGTTGTATGTGGTACGTGGTGGTAAATGTGCACGACAGCTGGGGTGGGGGGCATTCATGGAGTCTTTCAGGCAGCAAGTGAGGGCCATCCATGCATGCACACACGACAGCTACTTCGGTATGCTCTACAACCTGCTGATTTTCAGAGACGTCTCAAGATTTTCAGTACTTCGGTAATCCACTCCGAGTCTCCAACTGAGTAGTATCTTCCTCCTTTCCTGCAACAATCCTTAAACCATGTCATCAACCTTACAGTTTTTCCAACTCTTCCCTGTAACCTGCCACCCCCTTCCCGCCACCCTGGTCCCTGTCTTCCGCCCTCCCATTCTCTGCCCACAGCCGGAGCCCAAGCGGCTGATTGCGTTTTCCAAGCGAGGCTCAGTGCCCCACCATGTGAGTTGTGGTTAACAAGGGTGGTTGGGAGGGATACGGGTGATGGGAGAGAAAGGGAAGGGGGTACGGAAAGGGAGGAGGTGGAGGAAGGGAGGGTCGGGTGGGAGAGTGGAAGGTTGCAGGGGAAAGCTACCATCTACGCTTGATGCATAAGAGCAGCACCATATTCCACACTATATCATCTTCCTCTTGATGTCGTGTTTTGAGTCAACTTGAAACACGACTTGATGCATAAGAGCTCCACCATATTCCACACTCAATCTTCTTCCTCTTGATGTCTCCTTTCCCCGCACTCCATAAATAAGTCTGCTTTGCGTCTTCTTCTGCAGGATATTCAATATCAACCAGGTGATTGGCTGTTGTTTGGAGCTGAAACGTTTGGCCTACCACCAGAGGCCATTACAGAGTGTTCGGTTGGGGACCATGCGGGAGGGATTGCTCGCATTCCTATAGACGAAACATATGTCCGCTCTTTGAACCTTGCAGTTTCAGCAGGAGTAGGAGTGTACGAGGCATTGCGACAAATTGACCCTCATATAGGCAACAGTATAAATAGGAATTAGAGATACAGTATGATGCAAGACAACTGCAACTTCGTTTCTATGTTTTAGTGTTGATCTAGATGCAAAACGCACTCCCTCATAAGCTGGCTCCAAACCTTGATGTTCATGCTGCCCACACCACACAACACACTGGCATTCCCAACTCTTGGGCATTCCAACGCTGAACATTTTCCTACTACAGGCAGATTTTGCTTCGTTTGAACGGCAGGTGTGTGATCGTCAGGGGACTTCCTGGGACATCCCGAACGTACCCGGAAGTTCATTAATCCAGGAGCAGAAACCAGAGAGCTCCGTCCGTGCCACTGCCAAGTCAACTGCGTGAACCGCCACTCCTGCTTTCCTGAAAGGAAAGGAATCTTGTGCTACACGTACAACCGTACGGCATATCTGCCAGTACACGTACACGCTCCACTTGCGCGGGGACTTTGATCAGACTGGCTGCCCCATCCTGACTGACTTTCGCCGTTTTCTGGGACTGCTCATTACTTCTTGTACAGAGCGTGACAATAGGCCCCAGTTTACTACTGTACAGTTATTTGCCCGTACGAACCAAATACACCCTAATGCTCACTCAACCGCCCACTCTGAACACGCCCACTGCCATTCCATACGTCCAGTGGTCGACATTCACAGCCAACGGCCCGCGCGTTACTAGCCCACGACAAAACCAAGATGTTCGAGTTTCCCAGACAAAACACGCTGGGCTACCCACAATTTCCGCAACTGTAGTTTTTTTGTCAACCTTTGTTCTACATTCAATCCCATTCTGCCCCTACTGAACGCATGCTCGAGAGAGGAGCACAGGGAAAGATGGGGAAGGGGACTGAAATGGGCATCATGTGTAGCGCAATGAGCTGGGTTTTGGCGGATGAACTAGTGAAATGAAAGAATTTTCGGGCTTCTTGTGGTTTATCATTCATCGTTTTTGACTCTCATTCGAGGGCATACAGAAACCTCAAGCAGTGGAAAGAAACGTTCAACGCCCTCAAGCAGGATGGGGGGAACCGCAAATGGATCCCGAAGAAATATCTCGCATTCAAGTGGATCCCCGTATGACCACTAAAAAATGAATGGAATACAGTGCAGCACAAACCGTTCATCTGCCCCTACCCACCCCACCCCACCCCCAGCCCCGTCGAGCTTGAGGTTCTTCAGCGATTCCACTGGGGAAACCTGCTTGACAGCATGCTGACATGGCAAAATATATTAGATGGGTTTCGTCAATCCCTTGACTAGCACCGCCGATGACTTCACTTGACATTTGTCATCAAAGGCAACGACGCATCCAGCCGAGGTGACGTGGCCTCAATTTGATTACGGCGAGATAGTCGTCGAAAGTCGGCCTTCAAATTTTAGCGCGATTCGATTTGAATCGAGAAATGTGCGGTGCGCCCACGCCAAGCACTGTCAACCTGGACAACTCTGCTCCGTACGCCAGCCAACCCCCCACCCCCCTTCCCCCTCACCTCACCACCACACCAGCCACTACAAAATCAATTACTCATCAATTGTAGTACTAGAACTCCTTGAAGAAGTAGTACTTGCTTCTTCGAAACCCGTCACACCACCTGTCCCCGCATCGCCGGCTTGCACCTGTCCATCCAACCGCGAGGCTCAACGTGAAGCTGCGAAAGTGCGATCCGATTCCTGCATCCGCCACCATTTCTTTGCTCGCAACGATGACTGATGTTCATGGCGTCACCGCCGCGACAGTAGTTTTGCTGCTGATCCTCATCGCCGCGCTCGCCGCCCCGGTTCTTGCGGCTAGCCCTCAAGAAAGCGCTCCGCACGGACCGATAACCACAGTGCGCGGATGTTCCGATTGCGCTAATCTCAAAATGGGGTACTACATCGCGGCCTCGAATGACTTGACGGCGTCGGGGCCGACTTACCCGACGACTGCGACGTACAACTTCGAGCGCTACGTGTTCGACTCGACCACGCCGTCCAATCTCGGCACTACTGTAATCCTCTCCCGCCCTCAAACATCGCTTTCTTCGCAGAACGCTGATAAAAAATGTAACCCGACTTTTACTCTTGTGCCGCCGCCGCCGCCGCGCCGCGACTTCCAGTCGATCTACTTGCATGATGTTGGTCTGCATTCTTGATCTCCATTTCGCCCGTGCCGCATGATGCTACTTTGTTTTATGCTTTCCAATCTACCCTCTCCTGCCGTTTGCCCTCCTGCAGACCACCAATTCCGAATCTGATTGTTGCCGCAGCTGCGCCGCAAAAGTAGGCTGCCAATTCTGGCGACTGAGCAAGCTGACGTAAGCATGATGACGTTAGCGTGCTATCGTACTATTACTAAGCTTATTAAGCATATTTGACATGTTTATTTATTGTTTTCGAAGGCCATATGACACAACCGCGACACGACCCTCACTTTTCATCATCTACTAACGACGCCTCTAAACTTGCAGCAACCCGGGCCTATGCACCCTGCTGGGATCGCTAACGGGACTCAACACGACCAACTATGATAAAAAGGTGGATCCGACATACATCGGCGGAATCTGCAACCCCCTTGCCAACACCAACGGTGACCCGCATTTCCGCGGCGCGGACGGAACGCGCTTCGACTTCAACGGCCTGCTCGACCGCTCCTTCTGCCTGCTTTCCGACCGTCGGATCCACATCAACATGGGGATCAAGGGCTACCGTCCGATCGCCAACCTCCCAGGCACTGCCACGTCATTGGATGAAAACACACTCGCCGCGGCAGTGGAAGCGGCAGCGAATGAGTTCAAGCCACGTCATATTCAGGAGCTGCAGGAGGAAGCGTTAAGCGCGGCGGAAGTGGCGGGGCTTCTGCGGATGCGTGACAACGGGAGCTTACCTGAGACGGAGAAGGTAGCAGACGCGCTCGAGCGCGAGGTGGGGAGGTTCCGCGGAAGCAGCGGGGCGGCAGAAGATGCGGGGGAGCTTGGAGGGGATCAGGCTGTACCTGCGGCGATTCAACTATCGGAGGGGCTGAATTCGGTTCAGTACGCGAAGCACGAGCTGGAAGCGAGGCTGCTCAAAGGGAAGCCGATCCGCAGCTGGATCAGGTGCGTGTGTTGCATCCGTGTCGGTGGTGTCGCGTCGCATCACATTTCATCGCGTCACGTTACGTCGCGACACATTACATCACGTCGCGTTACGTCAGCCCATCAGTTCACGGTGTCGTGATCATGGTGGTGCCAGTGGGTCATGCTATCTTCCTGTGGCATATCTCATATATCCGGATTCTCATCTTTTTCCTCTCTGCTTCGCCGTCCGTCTCACTCCTCGCCGCCCCACACCAGGGAGCTTCAAGTGATGTGGCGCGACGCGACAGGCGCACAGCACTCGGCGTTCCTCAAGGCGCGGGACGGCAAGGAGCAGGGCCGAGGTGCCTCCGGATTCATCCAATGGATGGTGATCGACGGCCAAGAAGTGGCCCCTCCGTTTTACCCCGGGAGTTCCATCTCCGCGAGCGGAGGCTTTAAGCTGCTGCTGGCGGAGAGCAGGAGCCGGCCTGGGAGGGTAGAAGACGAGTTCCACCTGAAAATAGAGGGCGTGGTGGATCTGGGGGTAACGGCGCGGGTGGCCCATCCGCTCATGCAGACTGCGACTGAGGCTCAGGCGCACTTCAACGTGCATATCGTGCAGCTCAATGTAAGCTTCGAGACGCCTCAAAAGTCATCGAGCATAATTTGCAGCTCAATTTAAGATGTGTTGCTCAACGTAAGCCATGCTTTCGATCAGACCCCCTGCATTGAGACATCTCTCATGCTCACAATGACCTCTTCACACTACTTCTTGGTTCGCCCTCTTCTGATCATGCCCTTTTCTCCATCCAACCCCACCCCCGACCTCTCTCCACCAGCACACGGAGGGCATTCACGGGGTGCTTGGGCAGACCTTCCGCAGCGAGGCATCCCGATCGGTGCGGTCTCGGTGGCACCGGCTGCTCACTCGCATGCTCACCTGACCTCTCCACCTTTTCTCCCCGCCCTTCCTCCCTCCTCCCCCACCAGCACACGGAGGGCATTCACGGGGTGTTGGGGCAGACCTTCCGCAGTGAAGCATCCCGCTCGGTGCGATTGCTCGGCACCGCCTGCTTACTCGCATGCTCAGACCTCTCCACCTTTTCTCCCCGCCCTTCTTCCCACCCACCACCAGCACACGGAGGGCATTCACGGGGTGTTGGGGCAGACCTTCCGCAGCGAGGCATCCCGCTTAGTGCGGTCGCTGCGGCATCGCCTGCTCACTCGCCTGCTGCGGGAGCCGGTGGACGTGGAGAGCAGCGAGGTGGGCGATGGGCTGCTGGATGGGATCATGCAGGACTATCTCACCTCGGGGATTGCCGCCACAGATTGCGTGTTCTCTGCCGCGTGGAGGAGGGGAGATCCGGATATCTGGATGGGAGACGACGGGCTTGATTTCATGCGATAAACGAGTGTGTTTGATGATGTGTGCGGGGGGGGGGGGGGGGGGGGCAGTGGAGGACTGCTGGACGGGCGTGTGGATTGCTGTGACAGATTGGGGCAGGGTGGGGGCGGGGGAGGGCAGCTGGATGGGCGCGTGCATGACTATCTAACGTCGGGGATTGCTGCGTCGGACTGTGCGTTTGCTGCTGAGTGGTGATTGGAGAGCAGGAGAGTAGTGATGTCGACGACAAATGTCAATAAACGAGATAATGAGCGTGCGTGTGGGGTGATCGGGGTGCAATTGCTGCGACACTGGCTGCTTGGCATCTGCTGGAGTGCTGGGACAGGGGGGGGGCTGCTGGATGGGCTGCTGGATGAGTGTGTGGACATCTCACCTCGCGGATTGCCGCGCCGGGTTGCTCGTTTGGTGACGCATGGAGCAGGGGAGAAGATGAGGCTAGTGGTGGCGACAACAAACATAAACTCATGAAATGAAGTGTGATGACTAGTGAAGTGAAGCTGTGCTTGTTAGACATGAGCACTGAGAATGCTCCCTTTCTACTTGGCATGAAGAGTGAAATAGCAGCAGGACCACAGGACCAGGGTATTTAATGCATTACTTGATTCAGTCTGGTATGAAATGAGAGTTGCGTGTACCTTTGCTATCAGTTATAACTACGGTAACATTAGGTATCAGCAAAGCCTGGCACATTTGTACTCTTCCACCTGATGATCTAACCTTGTGTTACACCAAACCAAGATGCTATAATCAACTCCAGGCAAGTGAGCTTCAGTTGCTGTTTATTGAAACAGCAATTCGGGTTTCTCCGCACCGAACTATCTCTCCTGATCCCCTCCCATCATCCCCCCCTGTAGTCACAGCCTCCCAATACAAGCAGTGCATATATTTCTGTATGAGATTGTCGGACGACTTCCTTGGGCTAGCTGGATCGAGAAGCATGGACGGTTTGCAAATGTACCCCCAAGTTTAAAGAAACTTTGAACAAAAACCTCTAGTTCTTCTGTGCCAATTGCGTGGAACATCTCTGCTGCTTCCCTGCGCTGAGGGAAGATTGTGCTACATGCCGCAAAGTACAAAACACTAAACCCATTACTGTACACTCGTTCCAATTCCACTAGACCTTGAAATTTAACGGGTTCTGCGCGTGACTCGCCCTTGGACTGTTCGTTCCGCTCTGCACACATTGACCATCCCGATATGAAAACCCTGTGTGTATATACAAATGGAAACCCTGTATTCTGCTGTTTTTTCTCTAGCAACGAGGCCTGTGCGAGTTGGAGGTTCCGGGGTGAGCTGTGTTTGAGGACGAGGAGCTTATAGTTGGGGAAACCTTTGGTCCTCCCGTTGATAAACTAAGAGTTTGCGTGTCAGATCGGATTCTCCTTGAAGGGCAGCAGTACGGCAGTGGAAAGGGTAGTTGTCACCAAAGGGCCTCCCTAGTTCTCTCTAAGTGTTGATTCAGGGCTGTGATTTCGGACGCCAGATTGTGTGCTAAGTTGACCCTTACATACAAGTAGAATAGTCGAGATGTTAGCCCTGCTAACGTTCTCGACTACAAAGTGCTTGACACATGCAGACAGATGGCTAAACACACAAGTCAATGATGTTTGTCATCAAGGGCGACGACATGTCTTGTTGAAATGACGCGCCTAAATCGACAGCGTGGCAGTCGTCAAAAGTCGGCTCGAAATTGTTGAGCGATTCGATCTGAATCGAGAAATGCGCGGTGCGTCCCCACGCCAAGCAACCGCCATTGTGGTGAATGAATCTCTCCTCTCACTGCTTTCTTCACAACCAGCCACCACCAAGCCAGCGGATATAATTGCTTCATTAGAAAAATGCAGACAGCTCACCTTTCAGAGTCTGAAACTCCTCACCACACCGCATCGCCGTCAGCCTTAGGAGCTCCGACCGTTCCCCCACTGTGAGGCTGAACCCAAGACGCAGAAATTTACACCGACACCTGCCTCCACACCTCGCAACGATGGCACGTGGCCCCAGCCACTGCGGTAGCTCCACCGCCTCATTTTGTCTCCTGGCTCTACTTGTCACCCTCGCCGCCCCGGCTGATGCAGTTCATCCTGGAGAGACTGCTCCACACGGGCCCGCAACCCCAGCGCGCGGATGCTACAATTGCACAAAATGGAATCCGAGATATGGATTCTGGATTAATAGCGTTTCTGCAACGGAGGCAACGCCGCCTATGTACCCAAATCCGAACATCAACTACGAGCGCTACGTGCTCAACACCGGCGTGTTGGCGATTGCGAATGTCATCTACAAATAAGTAATCTTCCTTTACCCTCTACCATCGCTGTTTGCCAGCCCTCTTTCCAAATCTTCAACTCGGACTTGATGCGCTGCAGCGCCGCCACAGCTATCGCTATATCCCAGCTTCTTCGTGTTTCTTAAAATATATATCCTCTGCTAGTTCTCTTTTCAGTATGTGACTGACTGGTCGGTATGCTGCCGCTACTGCGCCAGTACGACTGGCTGCACATACTGGCACTTGGAATCCATGTAAGAAGATGATAAATGCCGCGCTGCGGTATCGTGATACATAATGATTGCATTATTCTATTATTAAACATTTTCTTAACCTAGTTTTTTCTTCCTGCTACTACTTACATTATTAATCGAAGCACAGCTTTCGCCGCGCTCTACTATATATCTCGCAGGGACTACGGGTATTACCCATGCTACTTGCTGAAATCACTAACGGGACTCAAAGTGACCAACTGGGTCACGTTGTTGGCTCCGCCATACATCGGGGGCATGTGCAACCCCCTCGCCAACACCAACGGGGACCCGCATTTCCGCGGCGCGGAAGGCACGCGCTTCGACTTCAACGGCCTGCTCGACCGCTCCTTCTGCCTGCTGTCCGACCGTCGGATCCACATCAACATGGGGATCAAGGGCTACCGTCCGATCGCCAAACCTCCCAGGCACTGCCACGTCACTGGATGAAAAAACACTCGCCGCGGCGGTGGAAGCGGCAGCGAAAGAGTTCAAGCCACGTCATATTCAGGAGCTCCAGGAGGAAGCGTTAACTGCGGAGGAAGTGGCGGAGCTGCTGCAGATGCGCGCCAATGGGAGCTTGCCTGAGTCCGCGAAGGTGGCGGCGGCGCTTGAGCGCGAGGCGGGGAGGCTCCGCGGAAGCAGCGAGGGCGGAAACGACGTGGGGGCGCTTGGAGCGGCTCGGGATGAGTCTGCGGGGAGTCGCGCTTCGGAGGAGCAGAATTCGATCCAGTACGCGCGGCACGAGCTGGAAGCGCGGCTGCTCAAAGGGAAGCCGATCCGCATCTGGATCAGGTGCGTGTCGCGCCATTGTTGGCGGTGTCGCGTCACGTTAGCGATTGTGTCGTGATCATGGTGTGTCGGTGAGCAGATCTGATATCTTTTCATGATTCTCATCTCTGCTTCGCCATCTTTCCTTTGGTCTTATTACCCCTCGCCGCCCCACACCAGAGAGCTTCAGCTGATGTGGCGCGACGACACAGGCGCGCAGAATTCAGCATTCCTCAAGGCGCGGGACGGCAAGGAGCAAGGCCGAGGCGCCACGGGCTTCATCCAACGGATGGTGATCGACGGTCGGGATGTGATCCCTCCTTTCCACCCTGGGAGCTCCATCTCCGCGGACGGAGGCTTTAATCTGCTGTTCGCGGAAACCAAGAGCCAGCCCGGGAGGGTAGAAGACGAGTTCCACCTGAAAATAGAGGGCGTGGCGGATCTGAGTGTGACGGCGCGGGTGGCCCATCCGCTCATGCAGACCGCGACTGAGGCTCAGGCGCATTTCAACGTGCATATTGAGCAGCTTAATGTAAGCGCTGAGTCTACTACCGTAGAAGCAGAGGTGCCTGTCATGCAGCCCATGCAGCTCATGTACGTTTGCCGTGCTCCTGCATTCGCCCTCCGTCCCCTGAAGTCCCCTGGTCTATCTCTCTCTCTCTCTCCCCCTTGCCTCACCAGCACACGGAGGGCATTCACGGGGTGTTGGGACAGACCTTTCTCGGCGAGGCATCTCGCGCAGTACGGTCTCTGCGTCACCGCCTGCTCACTCGCCTGCTGCGGGAACCGGTGGATGTGGAGAGCAGCGAGGGGGGCGATGGGCTGCTGGATGGGCGCGTGCAGGACTATCTCACCTCGGGAATTGCTGCCCCGGACTGTGCATTCGCTGCCGTGTGGAGGAGGGGAGAGCACGAGAGTGAGATTAGGGACGACGGGGTTGATTTGATGTGATATGAGTGTGTGAGAGATGAGGTGTGCCGTCGCTGTGTGTTCCCTGCTGCATGGAGGATTGGAAAGCAGGGGATTGGGAGTGGCGACAACGAGTAGCGGTTCATGAGATGATTGAGTGGCTGGGTGATTAGTGCTTGATGTGAAGCTTTGCTTTGCTGGTAGAGCATGAGGAGAACTCTCCCTCTTGGGCATGGGTGTGAGGCTGCAGCATCTTAGGAGAGTCGTTTATGCAAAGCTTCTTTCTGGAATGAAATGAATGTATGTCTCTGCTGCTTCTGTGGTACGGTAGTTGGAGCACTTGCAGCGTGACAAAAAGGCAAAGGAAATTCACTAATACTACCCTTTCAAGTGAGTGGTGAACCTCAGCTGTTGCTAACTGGAACAACAGTCTGAGTTTGTAACAACACACTTATCCCGCATCCGCCGCACCAGATCATCTCTCCTAATCCCCTCCCCATCCTCCCCTCTTTCCCCCGCTGCAGTCACACCCTCCCAGTACAAGCAATGCATCTCCTTCTGATACACATCATACAAATACGTCGCGTTCTCCCACTTGTTCTTGATCGCCGGCCAGTCAAACCAATTCAACGCATACTGCCAGACCTGCTGCTGTGGGGTGTAGTTAACATCGTCACACCCATCCAGCTCCCCAGGGGGAAAGGCATGGCAGATAGCTTCGTGTGCAAAGTACCCGGAAACACTTATGTAAGCTTTGATTACCCGCGGCATGTTGTCAGTGTGGTTGGTGGCCTCTCTGAAGGGCCAGGAGTAGGGTATGTGCGCTCCCACTCGGGGGATGGGCATGTGGTTGGTCCATTCTAAAGCCCAGTGCACCTGATGGGGGAGAGGTGATGGGGAGAAGCGGAGAGGGTGATGAGGAAGCATGAGAAGCAGAGTAGGGTATGTGCGCTCTCACGCGGGGAATGGGTATGTGGTCGGTCCACTCTAGCGCCCAGTGCACCTGATGGGGGAGAGCAGAGGTGGGGGTTGGGGTGCGTGAGAGAGGGGAGACGACGTATAAGAAACAGAATTGGGTATGTGCTCGCCCACTCGGGGAAGAGTTGGTATGTGCTCGCCCACTCGGGGAAGAGTTGGTATGTGCTCGCCCACTCGGGGAAGAGTTGGTATGTGCTCGCCCACTCGGGGAAGAGTTGGTATGTGCTCGCCCACTCGGGGAAGAGTTGGTATGTGCTCGCCCACTCGGGGAAGAGTTGGTATGTGCTCGCCCACTCGAGGAAGAGTTGGTATGTGCTCGCCCACTCGGGGAAGAGTTGGTATGTGCTCGCCCACTCGGGGAAGAGTTGGTATGTGCTCGCCCACTCGGGGAAGAGTTGGTATGTGCTCGCCCACTCGGAGAAGAGTTGGTATGTGCTCGCCCACTCGAGGAAGAGTTGGTATGTGCTCGCCCACTCGGGGAAGAGTTGGTATGTGCTCGCCCACTCGGGGAAGAGTTGGTATGTGCTCGCCCACTCGGGGAATGGGTACGTGGTCGGTCCATTCTAAAGCCCAGTGCACGTGACGGGGGAGACGAGAGGTGGAGAAGAGGAGAGGAGGGGAGGAGGAAGCATGAGAAGCAGCGTAGGGTTTGTGATAAAAGTTGGGTTTTGATATGTCTCAAAAACACCTTTTATCACGTGCACAAGCACACAAGGATTGGTGTGTGGTTGGTTCACTCTAGTGCCTCACTGCACCACATAAGGCTGCCTGCCCCTTGCCCTGTCACCACTTATCGTCTCTCTTCATACACACGAACCCCACAGACTCTCATCTCACGTGGTCCCGTCCCTGCCTGCTCACATGGTCCCATCCCTGCCTGCTCACATGGTCCCATCCCTGCCTGCTCACGTGGTCCCATCCCTGCCTGCTCACGTGGTCCCATCCCTGCCTGCTCACGTGGTCCCATCCCTGCCTGCTCACGTGGTCCCATCCCTGCCTGCTCACGTGGTCCCATCCCTGCCTGGTCACGTGGTCCCATCCCTGCCTGGTCACGTGGTCCCATCCCTGCCTGCTCACGTGGTCCCATCCCTGCCTGCTCACGTGGTCCCATCCCTGCCTGCTCACGTGGTCCCATCCCTGCCTGCTCACGTGGTCCCATCCCTGCCTGCTCACGTGGTCCCATCCCTGCCTGCTCACGTGGTCCCATCCCTGCCTGCTCACCTCGTCCTGAGTGAAGGCCCACATGTAGTTGCCCAGAGTCGTGTGGGCGATCTGCGTCCTGCAGAGGCAGACAGAGCGGTGTGAGAGGGACACAGAGGGGTTGAGATGGAGGCAGAGAGGTATGAGACAGAGGGTGGAGTGCTGGAAGCCTGGTTGACAGCATCAGAGTAGGGTCAAAATGATGCAAGCACATCACAGTGGCACCACAAACGAGGTGAATTTTGAGTCGACTCAAAAGACAGAGGGTGGAGTGCTGGAAGCCTGGGTGACATCATCAGAGTGGGCTCAAAATGATGCAAGCACATCACAATGGCACCACAAACAACCCACCCAGTAGCACCATACGCCACCCAGCAGCACCACACATACCCAGCAGCACCACAAATCACCCAGTAGGACCACACACCACCCAGCTGCACCGCATCCCACATCTCACCGTTCAAACTTTGGTCCCCGTTCCGCAAAATGTTTAAACGGCTTGTCGAAGCTCCTCCCAAACTTGTCGCGATGCAACTCCCCCACGAGCTCCCTGAACTTGGGTTGGGAAGCACAGCCCGAGGGAAGACGAGCGGTACGGTACCACATCTCACCCAGCAGCACCGCACCGTACCCAGCATCACCGCTCACCGTTCAAACTTTGGACCTCGTTCCGCAAAGTACTTAAATGCCTTGTCAAAGCTCTTCCCAAACTTGTCCCGATGCAATTCCCCCACGTGCTCCCTGAACCGCGGCAGCACGTCCCGTGGGAAGACGAAGGGCAGCTGCACCATGAAGTTGGCGAAGTAGGCGTGCTGCCCCACCAGCCAGCGCGTGGACGGCAGCCAGTTGTTGCGCTGCGCGTTGCGCGACCCGATCACTATCGGCTTGCCCTCGGTTAGATTGAACAGGAGACCCGGGGTCACCTGGGGAGATGGAAGACAGGGGAGAGGCGGAAGGGGAGAAGGGGAAAGGAGAGAGGGGGAAGGCGTGGACGGCAGCCAGTTGTTGCGCTGCGCGTTGCGCGATCCAATTACAATCGGCTTGCCCTCGGTTAGGTTGAACAGGAGACCTGGCGTCACCTAATGTGGGGGGGATTGGGAGGACGAGGAGAAAAGGGCGGAGTGGGAAGGGGGATAGGGGGGCATTTTGTAGCTGTACACCCACAGGTAGGTAGCTCCACTGCTGCACGGCTGTATGCATGCATGCACGCCGACATGCACACACTGGAATGCGCACACGTACCTTGAGGTTGAAAACCACGTCATCGTCGATAATGACAATGTAAGGGGCTGTGGTGTAGTTGTCGGCCCACAGGTAGCTCCACTGCTGCACGGCTGCACTACTCCATCCACGCACATACATGCCCCACCCCCCTCGCCTGCATGCACACACGTACCTTGAGGTTGAAGACAACATCATCGTCGATGATGGCAATGTAGGGCGCCGTGGTGTAGTTGTCGGCCCACAGGTAGCTCCACTGCTGGAGAATCTTCCCTGGCAGATCCAGGTAGTTCGTCTCGTAGTATACCTGGTGATTACTCGCGGAGAGGGCAGGGCAAGCAGGGGAACAGAGAGGGTAGTGCAGGAGAGTAGCATGGGTGAGAGTGACTGACACTGCTGGAGGGTCTTCCTTGACGATTCGAGGTAGTTCACTCATTCTGTTTAGCACGGCGAAACGGCAGCTGGACAACAGCTACTGCATTGCTCAGTTGCGTTGCGTTTCCAGCTCACACATGAAAGCACGGCACATTGTTTGCCTGATAGCTTGCGTTCCACCCCACCCAAGTCTTCCTTACCTTACGGTCTCCCTCCCTTACCTTATGTTTCGCACTCTCGCCTCGCCTCGTATAACGTGACGTCACTCACCTTGACTCATGTACACTCAGCTTGTATCGCACCCGTTGACCCGCGTTGACTCACCTTGACCCAGGGCGCTGACTCACCTTGACCCAGGGCGTTGACTCACCTTGACCCAGGGCGTTGACTCACCTTGACCCAGGGCGTTGACTCACCTTGACCCAGGGCGTTGACTCACCTTGACCCAGGGCGTTGACTCACCTTGACCCAGGGCGTTGACTCACCTTGACCCAGGGCGGCACGAGGTCCCTGACAACGATCTCGCCTTCGTCCAGCACCAGGATGACGTCACCAATGCCACGTGGCCACATCTGCTCGATGCTCCTGAACAGCACCTCTATCAGAAAGTAAGCATCTGACACGTGGCTGCGCACCAGCAGGTCCACACGCGCCGGCCACAGGGGGCTGGTTAGGGGGGAGACGGGGGCGATTGGGGGAGAAAAGAAGGGGAGATGGGAAGAAAAAGGTGGGGGATGGAAGGAGAAAGAAGGGCGTCTGACACGTGGCTGCGCACCAGCAGGTCTACACGTGCTGGCCACAGGGGGCTGGTTGGGGGGAAATAGGGGATGTGAGGAGACGGGGGGCTCCTGAACAGCACCTCTATCAGAAAATAAGCATCTGACACGTGGCTGCGCACCAGCAGGTCTACACGCGCCGGCCACAAGGGGCTGGTTTGGGGAGAGTCGGGGAAGGCGGAAATGGGGGCGGGGGTGGATGAGGGGGAAGACAGGGGGATGGGAGGAGAATGAAGAGCATCTGACACGTGGCTGCGCACCAGCAGGTCCACCCGCGCCGGCCACAGGGGGCTGGTTGGGGTCAAAGAGGGGGGAAAGACGGAACTGGGGGGAAATACGGGGGGGATGGGGGGGAAGGAGGGAAATGGGGGATGGGGGGAAAGGAAGGCATCTGACACGTGGCTGCGCACTAGCAGGTCTACACGCGCTGGCCACAAGGGGCTGGTTGGGGGAGAATGAGGTAGAAAGGCGGAAACGGGGGAGAATGCGGGGGAGAAGGGGGGAAAGAAGGGGTGGGAGATGGGAGGAGGCGAAGGGCATCTGACACGTGGCTGCGCACCAGCTGGTCCACCCCGCGCCGCGCTAGCCACAGTGGGCTGGTTGGGGGAGTCGGTAATGGGGGGGAATCTGAGAGGGATGGGGAAGAAGAAAAAGGGGATGGGAGGAGACGAAGGGCATCTGGCACGTGGCCGCACAACAGCTGGTCCACCCGTGCCGGCCACAGGGGATTTACGAGATGTCTCAAGAATGGGCTGCATTGCGGGAGAGGATGGGGAAGGACGGGGGGATGGGGAGGGGGGATAAGGAGAACCCCAATGCCCGTCACTCCCGCATACGCCACGCAATGGCACAGATTTGATCTTAATAGCCGCAATTCATATCCAGTACCCATCACTCACGCGTAAGCCTCGTCATAAAGCCGGAGCATCTCCGACACGCAATGCCCGGCCTTGGTGCGCCGCTGACAAGGCGCCACGCAGGCCCCGTGCCGGCTCGCGATCTCCCCGCACGGATTCCCCTCCCCCGTTGTAATCACATTCGGCGCAATCTCGCCGCGTTGAGAACTCGATACCCCCCCGACTGCGGACGCGGTGTTTGCTAAGTGCGAGTTGATCGACAGGCTTAGTTGCGCGGCGCGGAACCCGGAGGTGTGGCCGAGGCGGTGCGAGATCGCGGAGAGGGAGAGCATCGTGGCGAAGAGGACGGCGACGCATGCGAACGCCTGGCGACGCGTGACGACGAACGAGTCCGACCCAGACGCGGCCTTCCTCATGCTTGCGCGACGGTTGCTATTTCGTCTCAGAATTAGCGTCGCGTTACGGTGCGTTAGGGTCGGTAGACTACAGTAGGTTACGGTAGCTTACAAACGGGGTAGTCTTTTCTATAGAATTCTACGAAACGGCGTGTTACCACAAAGGATAAGCCTGTCGGGCAGGACAGGAGCCGCCGTGATTGACGGCGGCTGACACGGCGTGTCGTGGCAGATAGCTTCACGGGACATGGACGGGCGTTGATTGGCGCGCGCTGCTGCTCATTCATTCACCTGACCGGCAATGCAGTGGAAAACTGGTAGCCATGAAAAACTGTCATGTGTTTGCGAGCGATTACACTGAACTAGAACCTCGATTCTACCCAAAAGCATAAACAAGTAGGCTCGGCTTGACCCGCTGCTGATGATTTGTGTTACGTTGCGACAGTTGCTGGCGGGAGTGGAGTGGTGGGTGGGTGTGTACGCGTTTGTCTTGATTGGCTCATTAAAGTACATTACCGATGCATGTAAAATGATACAGTAATAGAGTCGAATGCTACAACACATAACCGCCGATGCATGTAAAATGATACAGTAATAGAGTCGAATGCTACAACACCTAACAAAATTGACTCCCAACAATTACATACACCAGAACGGGGAGCAACAAAAGTACAAGGCACATTACATCGTCATACAATGGAGAAAGCCTACAAATACAGACGTTAATAGCACACGATTTTGCCAGCAGTGTTGAATGGCGACTTCAGAGTCGAATGGTGATGGTAATGCTCCTCTTGCCATCATTCTTCTCATCGGGATACTTGGGTGCAACATTCTTACGAGTACCAGAGTCCAACGACGACCCTCCAGTCGAGGGACCCTGCGTGCGGGGAGGGTTCTTAGCAGGGGGCTTGGTGCCCGGCTTAGTCGGGGGCTTGGGAGAGGTCTTAGGGGGCGGTTTCGGGGGGGATTTGGCAGGTGGCTTAGGGGATGTTTTAGGAGGGGTTGACTTGGGTGGAGAGGGTTTCTTCACAGAACCCCCAGAGGAACTCCCCGAGGAGCCGGATCCGCTGGTCTTGCCTCCCGCGCTGCCAGTGCCACCACCTTTGTTGCCCCCACTGCCACTGCCGCCCCCTGGTTTGCCGGCACCACTACCACTGCCCCCCCCGCCACTGCCACCCCCTGGCTTGCTGGTGCCACTGCCACCACTGCCACTGCCCCCACCGCCCCCTGGTTTGCCGGCACCACTGCCGCTTCCCCCACTGCTGCTTCTTCCCCCTGGCTTGCCAGCACCACTGCCACTCCCACTTCCCCCGCCTGGTTTGCCAGCACCACTACCACTGCCGCCACTGCCAGTGCCCCCTGGCTTACCAGCACCACTGCCACTGCCAGTGCCAGTGCCCCCTCCTGGCTTACCGGCACCACTGCCGCCACTGCCAGTGCCCCCTGGCTTACCAGCACCACTGCCACTGCCAGTGCCAGTGCCCCCTCCTGGCTTACCGGCACCACTGCCGCCACTGCCAGTGCCACCGGTCCCTGGTTTGCCGGCACCACTACCGCCACTGCCAGGGCCAAAAGTGCCGCTGCCGGTGCCATCTGGGGTGCTGAGGGGAACGCAGGTTGCCTCATCAGAGCCATCTGGTTCACAGCCGGAGGAAGAAAGAGAGAGCAAGGCGGGAGAAAGAACGGAAAGAACGGGAGTCAGCGCACACTAGGTGAGGCAGCAGTTCCCCAGACAGCACCGGAGAGCAAAAAACTCATAGCAATGAACACAAAGGGTAAGTGTGTGCGTGTCGCTCCTCCTCACCTTCGCAGGAGGGGATTTTCCATCATAAAAAACAGTGGAGCAGGCTCATTGTGTGCGTGTCGCTCCTCCTCACCTTCGCAGGAGGGGATTTTCCATCATAAAAAACAGTGGAGCAGGCTCATTGTGTGCGTGTCGCTCCTCCTCACCTTCGCAGGAGGGGATTTTCCATCATAAAAAACAGTGGAGCAGGCTCATTGTGTGCGTGTCGCTCCTCCTCACCTTTGCAGTCGGCAACTTTGTTGCACCAGTTGAGCTTGGACACGCACTGCAGCTGGTCCTTGCACTTGCGGAACCCCTTGGTGCAGTTCCACTTGTCACACCCCACCTCGTCACTCCCATCCTTGCATTCCTTCACTCCATTGCACCGCAACACATCATCCACACACTGCAGGTTATCACTGCACTTAGAGGACCCCTTCGGGCAAGTATATCCCCGGCAGAAGGCCGGATCTTCATCCACAGCCACACTCCCAGCAAGTTTTCCCGGGCAGTCGGGGACGGCGTTACACAGCGCTCCTCCCGGCTTGCACGTGCTCAGCCCTGGGCAGCGGAGGCTGTTTCTCGGGCAGGTAAAATTCGCGCAGAAGCCGGGGTTTTCGTCAAGCGCGTCCGGGCAGTCAGTTTTTCCGTCGCAGTACTGCCCGGGAAGGATGCAGACGCTGGGGGAGTCCGGGCAGAGGACGTGCGTGGCGTTGAGTGCGCCACAGTCCATGTCGAAGCTGCATATCCACGGCCACTCGTCGCTGCCGTCTGCGCAGTTCTTCACCCCGTCGCAGTAGTCGCCCCGGCTGAAGCATCCCGCCTTGCTGGGACACTGCGAGGGAGGCGAGGGGAGGAGAGGAGAGAGTGGAGGAAAGATGAGGGGAGAGAAGAGGAAAGTGGGAAAGAAAAGGAGTCAGGAGAGGGGGAGAGAGCACGAAGGGGGGAAGGGAAGGGGAGGAAAGGGGAGGTGTGATTGGGGCGGGAACAAGGCAGGCGCAGGTGAGTTGAGGCGGGCTTTGGGCAAGGGAGCAGCGGAAGCAAGCACAGGTAGGGAGGGGAGGCGAGTGGAGAGCGCGGCAGCAAAAGGCGAGTGGAGAGCGCGGCAGCAAAAGGCGAGTGGAGAGTGCGGCAGCAAAAGGCGAGACGCGTAGGGCTGGAGGTAAGGGCGTGGGGCGAGCGGTGGGAGTGGGGCGGGCGGAAGGGGCATAGGGCGGGCGGAAGGGGCATAGGGCGGGCGGAAGGGGCAGCTGACCTGGTTGGCACCGGGGCAGGGGTCAACGCTGCTGCCAGGAACCCCCTGCATGACGGGGAGAGGCGGGCGGAGGAAGGGAGGAAAAGGGGGAGTTTTGATGCGCGGCAGGCAAAAGGGGGAAGCGGAGAAACGGCGGGGAAGTGGGACTCTGAAGCCGCCTCAAACGGCAGAGGTCGGCGCTGCTGCCATGCGCCTCCCGCCGGACGGGGAGAGGCAGGCGGAGGGACGGATGCGGAGGGAGGGCGGGGAAAGGGGAAGGCGGGAGCGCATGGCGGGAGGAATGGGGAAGGGGAAAAGGGGGACGGCGAAACGTGGGGGGGAAGGTGTGGGCGCGGGGGGGGGGGGGGGGGAGGAGGGGAGAGGGGGGGGGGGGGGGGGGGGGGGAAGGTAGATAGTGCGAGCCGAGGTGGTGAGATCAAGGGTCTGAACCTGGGCGGTCTGATGAATTGCCTCCTCACTGTCTATTCCTGCTTGCTCGCAGAAGCTACTCCTCATGTCTCTCTCTGCATACCCTTCCACCTGCGTTCCTGCCCCTACTCCCCTCGTCGAAACTCCCTCCGTTTCTTCAAATACTACCCTTCCGGCTCGAGTCGACTCAAATACTACCCTTTCTGTTTTCCAAAATGGCATTCCCGCCTGCCTCCGCCAGAAAGAGCTTTCCAAGCCCGTCAACTTCGTCCTTGCTAACTGAATGCTACAACCCACTGCGTGCCGCCCATTATGTGCCAACCACCTTGTGCCGCCCTACGTGTGCCGCCCTACGTGTGCCGCCCATGCTATCCGTCCTCTCAGCGGAAAGCATCGCCACGCGCTATGCGATGGTTACGCGCGATGGTTACACTGCAGGGAATGACTACCTGCGAGCTGCTCGCCGCGACGAGGAGCGCCAGCAGCAGCAGGCGAAGGCACACTTGGCGGTTCGCGAACGCCATGGATGGGAACGGCGATGCTTCACGCCGCCAAGTGCGGCGCGTTGTGCGCTGCTACTCCTAACCGTTGGATGGAGTTGAAGAAATTAACTAGGACGGACGACGGAAGCAGGATCTGAAGGTTCCTTATAAATGCTCGAGTGTCGCGGTTTAGACGCGATACGACAGGTGATGCGGGCTCGAACGCTGCAGCTGCGAAATGAAAAAAACTGCGAGATGAAGATAGTGTTGATGTGGCTATACCTGCTGCTTGTGCTAGTGCGCTGTAGTTCCAAAACCAGCTTTTCACTGAGGCGAGGAGGGGAGGCTATCACTGCGGCCCAGGCGTCAGATCTTGTCTGGAAAGTGGTTGCGTAAACCATGGAGTATAAGGACGCGTCACCTGAAGCGGATCGGCCGAAGTTCGGCGGATCCGCACCGATTGTCATTTCGAGCCCAAGCTCGGTAGAGATCGGTGCCCATGACTGCGCAGCTACGGCGCACCGATTTACAGGTGACAGGTTCGGTATGGCAGGTTACGGGGTTGTGGTAACCTGGCCTGCGACAACGGCGATGTTGTCGTGAGCAGAATCGCACTGGGAAACTTAGGGTATGCGAAATTGATTGTCAATGTGGCGCGAAATTCCACACCCCGCCACCCAATCTCAAGCTCGATATTTTGACTTTGCTGTATCGATCAGGGCTCCCATAGGTGACAGGTTCGTGGGCACATTTTTACTGTACATTCGCGATCATTCACGACAACTAGTTACCTCGTTGATTACGACGCTACAGCGCTACACCCCCTGCCCCAAACCGATCTTCCAGCCCATCGATCCGCTTCAGGTGACGCGTCCTAATAGTGCGCCGTGACGGTGGCAGGTGACTTTGCAGGGTGAAGATGAGATGGGTGGTGGGCGGGAAGGTAAGGGGGAAGTTTAGTGGGAAATGGGGGAATGACGGGGAGAGAAGGCTGCGGGCAGCAGAGGCTAGAGAAGGCTGCGGATAGCACTCCATTGAGGGGAGGGAGGTGCGGTTGAGGAGGGGATTTGTCAGGTGGAAATGACGTGTGATCCGGAGGTGCTGGGCTTTTGAACCATCGAGTCGCAGGGTGCTATGCGCAATGAGTGGCAATTGCAGAATGTGCGCAGGTTGATCTGACTTTAGCGGGTTTTACGCCTCAGGCTGACATGTTACAATGAATTCAGTAATATACAAACCATATAGTACAATACAGTCACAACTTACAAAACTTGGTAAAGAAAACGTGTTATTGTGAGGAGACTGTCCAGCATTGCTGTCACGAAACTGCTAGTATTGCAAAACATTATCCTGACGTGTATCCCATCTTACTTTTTTTTAGACCTGGGTTTCGGTGGGCGTTTTACAGATTTCGGTGGTGGTGGACGTTTAGAAGACTTGGGTGGGGCCTTGGGAGGAGCCTTGGGGGGAGCCTTAGGAGGAGCCTTGGGGGGAGCCTTGGGGGGACCCGTGGATGGGGCCTTAGGGGGCGCGGGTGGAATGTCACATCTGTCCTCATCGCTCCCATCTGCATTGGTGTAAAACAGCAAGGCCAGACGATACACGAACGGACAGAAGACGTGAGTCTTGTGCATATGCGGCAGCATGGCACACCTGAATCATTTCAGAGACGAAAGCCGCAAGGCATGCATGATAAGAGCACAGTTATCACCTTCGCAGTCAGGCACTTTGTTGCACCAATTGATCTTCAAAGCGCATTGTAACTGGTTCCGGCACTTGCGGTACCCTTTGGTGCAGTTCCACTTCTCACACCCCACTTCATCGCTACCATCTGTGGGCATGTGGGAGACAAGCAGATGAGTTGAGGTTCACAGGCGGATCGTTGACTAGCAGATGCCAGAAGAACGGAGAAACAGAGGATTGGACAACCAGAATGCAAAAATGTCGGAACGGCAGCGGAGTGCCTGAGTGCCAGAGAATTGCACAGCTAGGATGTGCCAAACTTTGCAGTCGGCTGCGCCGTTGCAGCGAAGCACGTCGTCCACACGCTGCATGTTGTTTTGCGTCTGCTTAAAGTACACCTGAAGCGCATCAAGGCTCACCTTTGCAGTCGGCAACGCCGTTGCAGCGAAGCACATCGTCAACACACTGCAATTTGTCTCTGCACTTGGAGAACCCCTTGGGGCAAACGTAAGGCTTGCAGAACGCCGGGTCCTCGTCCACTGGCTTGCCGCCAGCTGTCTTCGCAGGGCAGTCGGGCACCGCGTTGCAGAGGGTTCCGTTTAGCTTGCACATGCTGAGCCCCGGGCAGCGGATGTTATTCCTCGGGCAGGTGAAATTCGAGCAGAACTTGGGATTTTCGTCCAGTGAGTCCGGGCAGTCGGTTTTCCCATCGCAGAATTGTCCGGGCAGGACGCAAACGCTTGGGACATCTGGACAGAGAATCTGAAATACCAGCAAAAACCCAGATCACAAATAGGACGTTAAATAAAGAACCAGTCCGCGAACATCGCTAGACCAGCACTCACATGCCTTGCCCCTTTTCCTCCTGACACCCTACTCCCTCCTTCCTTCGTCGCAATCAGTCTCGATTTATCTCAATATGCAAGCATATAGTCCGATACCTTTCCTCCACCCGGCACTCACGTGAGTAGCATTGAGCGCGCCACAGTCCATGTCGAAATTACAGAGCCAGGGCCACTCGTCGCTGCCGTCCGCGCAGTTCTTCACGCCGTCGCAGTAATCGCCCTTCGCGAAGCATCCCTTCTTGCTGGGGCACTGCGCCAAAGCAGGCGAGAGAGTACATGACGGTTTAGAGAAAGCAGGGGCACTCGAGGGTGACAACCATAGCGGTGATAGTCATGATGGTGATGACGGTGATCTTGAGGGTGATGGTATCGGTGACAATGATGCTGCTGAGGGGTTCGTGCTCACCTCGTTGGAACCGGGGCAAGGGTCGCCGGCGATCTACAGGAAGAAACGTGCAAGCACACGGGAAAAGCGGGAGAAAAAGGGGGGCATCGGGGGTAAGCAAAAGAAGAGGGGATCAGCTTGCTCGGCAATGTCGAAAGAGGAACGCGAGGGTGAAATGCGAGCGGCATTAAAGCAACAGAGTCGCCTGTTTTATTTCTCGTAAATGTTAACAGAAAATGGCTGAAGGCCGACATTCTCGAGCACAGTGAAAAACCGCGACTAATGGGCTGGTGAACAGGGCTATCGTAGCGGTTTGCGGGCTGAGGGACTTTTGCGGCGCCCCAAGCGGCAACAGCGGGCTACCGTAGCGGCAACAGCGGGCTACCCAACAACCTAACATGCAGGCTCTTCGCGCCCCGGTTTGTTAGCGATCTGGATTCACGCGACATTACAAGTCGGAACCACGAATCCGACTGTCTATAAGTCTGTGCTCATCGCATTTTGCCCGTGCACTGGCGCTTTCACGCCTCGGAAAATACGCTCGCTGATGTCGTTTGTGGGATACCACGCTTCGGGAGATACGCTAGCTGATGTCGTCTGGCCTATAACGCCTCGAGAACCCACGGCGAGAGCGCCTGTTTTCGCGCGTAAGACGCGCGGTTGCCTCAGTACCTGCGAGCTTGTTGTCGCGAAGAGTGTTGCGAAAAGTATCGCCCCTGCGAGAAGCTTTAGCGACGTGGGCGTTGACAGCCCAGACGCACGCGCCATGCCTCTTGCCACACAGGGCGAGACTCTATATTCTATTGCCTTAGCGACAAAACGTGGACAAGCGATCAGTCGTTGAAAGGAGTCCAGAAGCTCGGCCGAGCTTCTTGCCAAGAATCAGACACCTCCAAATTGGACGGCTGTGAAATGGTTGTTGCTCGAAGTATAGATATTGCTGGGTTCGAAGCATGGACAACTGATGGGTCTGTCATGTCATGTCCGCGGCACGAAAGTGGCGGCAGTCACAGACTCACAGGGATCGAACAGTCTGGCTTTTCTTCAGGGCAGGCAGGAGCCACGTTGAAGACAAGAATCTCTTCGCAAGCGTCACCTCACCGTCGTCGTGAGCGTGACGAGGGGGGCCAAGTGTTTTTCCGGGGAAGGTGTTCTGTTGGGGCAGGTGGGGTGAGAGTGACTCGCGGAGTCCGCGCACTAAATCTCAGGTGCGACTCGTCTTATCCAGGTGGATTTCAGGTTGTACTAATTTGAGCAAAACCGGTAGTACGACGTTGGCGAAGTTGGTTACTGAGTAAACGATTCTTCAGCTGTTCCCGAGAGTTCCGTAAGGATCGCCGCAAATGCTGGTCAGAACTACGACTCAAAATGGGTGAGATGTTGCACAAAATCGCCATGAACTAACATTGAACGATATAACATGTCTCATGGAGCCTCTCACAGTGCATTGTGCAGTGGGGGCTCCCACTTCCATGCAATGCATACATCAGATTCACCCATCTAGGCTCAAAACTAAACAGGATGCATGTCCTGCTCAGCTTCAAGAAAATTCAAACTCAGCAGTATACAGTTTATGCATCAATATGCCCTCGGAAAGGACCATAACCAGTTGCAAACTTCATAAAAACCATCTCCCCATCCCAAGCTGCTTAAACATCAACTGACCCACAGGAAGTATGAATCAAACAATACAAAACAACAAAATAACATGCTACAGTATTATAAAACCGCACACCACTGTTGTACATTCCAAAGTCCCGCTGCATGAATCAGCCCAGCCAAGGGTCACCACTGCCATCCCCGCCATCACCTCCACCTGTGCCATCCCCTGAGCCATCACCTGAACCATCACCTGAGCCGTCCGTGCTGTCATCAGATCCGTCATTTATCTGATCCGTCGTGTCCTTCCCATTGAGGATATTCGACTCCTTAACAATCCGCATGTAAGTCTTCCGCCTCAGCGACACATCCCCCTCCCCCCCCCTCAAGAAGAGTCATCGACGCCAAGTACGCCTGATACGCCTCGTCACGATCCGATTTGGTTTGGTCGAGCCACTTCTTGGTTCGGGCAACGTTCTTCTGCCGAAGCTTCACCCGTTCCATCTCCCCCGTGGCCAGATACTTCCGAATTTCCTGATTCAGCCGCGAAATATCCTCCGTCAGATTATCATACCTTTCGTTCATCTTATCAAGTAGCGCTTCAGCATCCAGAGTATCATTATACAGCCCTTCCAGCTTAAATACCGCCTTGTCCCAATAGCTCTTCGCCGCCCGTGCGCGATTCAGCACCTCAGCCGCTTTAGCAGACATCTTAACGCGGTTCGCCTGTCGCTGGTTCTGCGCAAACGACATGGCATCCTGCTTCTTCTGCTTCTGCATCGCGGCCCGTTCCGCCGCCGAAGTCAGCCTCTCCGCCGCGGCACCCGATGCCTTCACGCTGCCCGCGTTCTGCGCCTTGCTAATCGCCTTCTTCAGCTTCTCCCGGAGCCTGTCCGCGGTGTCTTTCGCGCTCTCATACTCCTTCTCCTTGCTATTCGCGTCCGCCTTGGCAACGGCAGCAGCAGCCTGCTTAGCAGCAACGTCCGCCTTGGCCTTTTTAGCAGCGTCTTTCTTTGCCTTGGCCGTAGCACCCACAGCGTTGTTAGCCACTCTTTGAAGCCTGTCCGCTTCGGTCCCAGCAGCGTTGGCGTCTGCCTGGAGTTGCCTGGCCTTGGCGTCTGCAGCATCAGCAGCCGCTTTTGCCTTGTCCTGGGCAATAAGTGCGGCCTGGTACTGGGCTGTCAGTTGCTGCACGGTGGTGCCACCTCCTGAAGACCCAGTGCTGCCGGTGTTTCCGGTGTTTCCAGTGTTGCTGCTGCTGCCAGTGCTTCCAGTGTTACCCTTAGTACCAGTGCTGCTGCTGCTGCCCGTGCTGCCAGTGCTTCCAGTGCTGCCCTTAGTGCCAGTGCTGCTGCTGCTCCCTGTGCTGCCGGTGCTGCCAGTGCTAGCCTTGGTACCGGTGCTGCTGCTGCTGCCGGTGCTACCAGTGCTGCCAGTACTGGCCTTAGTACCAGTGCTGCTGCTGCTCCCCGTGCTTCCGGTGGTTCCAGTGCTAGCCTTGGTGCCAGTGCTGCTGCTGCTGCCAGTGCTGCCAGTGCTGGTGCTGCTACCAGTGGTGCCAGTGCTGCCAGTGCTACCCTTGGTACCGGTGCTGCTGCTGCTGCCCGTGCTGCCGGTTGTACCAGTGTTGCTGGTGCTGCCCGTGCTTCCGGTTGTGCCCGTGCTGCCCGTGCTGCCCGTCGTGCCCGTACTGCCCGTGCTGACGGGATCCGGGAAACCACAGTCGAACTCGTCGCTCCCATCTGGTGAGGAACGGAAGGGGAAGCGAGGACGTGGGTCAGCAAGGGATACGACGACGCCGAGAGACGAGGAGGCGACGAGAGGTTGATGGCCGTGCGAGAGCAACGTGCGAGAGCAACGTGCAGGCAAAAAAAGGGAAAAGGGGGAGGGATGAAGAGGGAGAGAAAGCATGAGAGCGAGGGCATTGCCCGCTAATGAGCGAGGGCATTGGGCGAGGACACAGCAGGTTAGCAGTTAAATCAAGGACGGGAGGAAGCTGGGGGAAGGGCGGAAGGGGAGCGCGGAGAAGAGCGGGAGGAGGGGGAGAGCAGGAGGAGGGGGGAAGAAGGGCGGGAGAAGGGCGGGAGAAAGGCGGGAAGGGAAGGGAATGCACCGAGGCAGTCCTTCTTGCCGTCGCAGATGGCATCGACCAGCACGCACTGCAGCTCGTCGCTGCACTTCTGGAACCCGTCCAGGCACGAGTACGCGGCGCAGTACTTGGGGTCCTCATCGGGCGCGTACAGCACTCCGCTCGTCGCGTTCTTGATCTTGGGGCAATTCGCGACGCCGTCGCACATGTACCCCTTGATGCACGCGGAGGAGGCGGTGCATTTGACCTGGTCCTCCTCGCAGTTGGAGCTGCGGTAGTCGAGGCAGAAGCCGGGGGACTCGTCGATGGCGCCCGGGCACTGCATGATGCCGTCGCACACTTGAGTCGGCTTCACGCAGTACTCCGTTCCCACGCACTCCACCTGCGGGGGAAAAGGGGGAAGGAGCGGGGGGGAGGGGCAGGGGAAGGGAAGGGGGGAAGGGAAGGGGGGAAGGGAAGGGAGGAGGGGAAGTCGAGTTGGGTGGTCAGGAGAGGAAACGAGTCGATTGCACGCTTGCAGGGGCTTCAGACAGTACTAGGTGCTCACGCGAGGGGGAACGGGAGCAAGCGGCGTATGCGGGACACACGGTGGTGCCGGAGAGGGTGCGGCGAGCTAGGCGGATGCGGCGGGTGTGGCGCGCGTGGCGGTCGTGGCGCGGTTGAGAGGGGTGCGGCGGTTTGACGTACGGTGGTGTCGGGGTCGGAGCAGTCGAGCGGGTTGCAATACCACGCGGCCTCGTCGCTCTTGTCCTTGCAGTTGGCCGTCTTGTCGCACAGCTTGTCGGGATCCACGCACTGCCCCAGCCCTGGACACTCCGTCTGTTGTGACGATAACGGGAGGCAGATGTGACAGAAGAGGGAGGTGAGTGAGTGGGTGCCTGGGAGGCCTCGTCGCTCTTGTCCTTGCCGTTGGCCGTCTTGTCGCACAGCTTGTCATGGGACATGATCCACGCACTGCCCGAGACCTGGACACTCCGTCTGTTGAAAGGTTGTTGTGACAGTAACAGGGGGAACGTGAGACAAAAAGGGAGGTGAGTTGACGAAACTAGTGCGGATTGCGGGAGATGGCGGAAGTAGTGCGGGGACATGGAGTCAGTGTGGGGAAGCGATGGAATGCGTTGCGGAAAAGGGGCAGGGCAGGTAGACAAGGGAGCGAGAGATGAGGCCGGGGAAGTGGGGGACGAGGGCGGAAAGCGCGGTGACCGACAAAGCGCGGTGAACGACAAAGCGCGGTGAACGACAAAGCGCGGTGAACGACAAAGCGCGGTGAACGACAAAGCGCGGTGAGCGACAAAGCGCGGGGAAGTTGGGACAAAGACCGGAACTGGGCATGAAGGGGCGAGTGGTGGGGAAACGGTGGAAGCTGGGAAAGGGGAACGGGAGGGGTGCAAGAGGGGGGATGAAAGAAGGGGGGACGGGTGTTGGGGGAAGTAGAATGCGAGCGGGTCGGGATAAGGGGGGGAAGCAGAAGGCGAGCGGGTCGGGATAAGGGGGGGAAGCAGAAGGCGAGCGGGGCGGGATAAGGGGGGGAAGCAGAAGGCGAGCGGGGCGGGGAACGTACCAGATCGCCGCAGTCCATTTCGGCCGCAACCTGCGGACAGGGGGGCACGGGGAAAGGGGGGCACGGGGATAAGGGGGCAGGGGGAAAGGGGGGCACGGGGAAAGAGGGGCCACGCGGAAGGGGAAGAGGCAAGAATCGGGATGTTGGGGATGCTCAGTGATAATCTAGGATTCATACATGCAAGACCGACCTAGTTGGGAGGTTGCGCAGCGGTTGCGAGAAGTGGGATACGCGAGGGACGAGAAACGTCAACTATTGTCCAGTCGGCCCGTGCGTACGAGACGGTGGTACAGCGATACGCGCGGTATGGACTGATTGAATGCTAACGGACGGGCAGCAAGGAAGCTGGCCGGGACAATCTGTAAGGCTCTTTTGAGTCGACTCAAAAGTCAACTCGATACGCGCGGTATGGACTGATTGAATGCTAACGGACGGGCAGCAAGGAAGCTGGCCGGGACAATCTGTAAGGCTCTGCGTGCGCGCTGCGCCGTCGGACAGTGCGTTTAGGCTTTACGTGAGGTCTGACTGCTGCCGCGTGCGCTGCTGTAACGAGCAGAGCAGACTGCTGGGCGTGGCAAGAGGTACCATGGTGTCATTGTAACGAGAGGTGACTATTGAGTAGACAGCATAGACTGCCGGGCGGGGCAGGTCGTACCATGGTGGTGGTGTGCGAGAGGAGCGAGAGAAGCAGCGCCGCGACACAAAAGACGTGCGCGGCATGCCGTTGATGCCAGCTAGCCCTCGCCATCGGACCGCTCTCGTCGACCAAAACGGACGACGCCCGAGGTGAAAAGTACCGATTTAAAAAAAAATAAAAATAAAAAATGAGTGTTTTATTTAATTTAGAACAGTGTAGGTTTGGGGTTCCTGCGGGAGGTGCGGGTCTGTCTCTAGTCTAACTAGAATAATAGAGTCGAAAATAACCCCTGCACGCTAATTCGTTCTTAGTAGTCGCTACTTGCGCGCTTCGACGTGCTTGACCTAAGCTCTGGCATCACCCACCAGAATCTGTGATAAGGCACTTGAGGGGAACTACATAGAGTGTGGAGTGGAGCGAGGACACGGGTTGGCTCGAATTTGGTGAGGCAGGTGGAAAGGATGGGAGGGAGGGAGAGAACAGAACGCGGAAAGGAACAGAACGGGCCAGTTGCGAAACGGGCACGGGGGGGAATGAGGCAGCGCGGGAGGAAGTGAGGGAGCTGGGCGAGAGGGGAACGGAAGGGAGAAGAGCGGTGCGGGCAAGTGGAACATTCCGCACGACTTTGCTTGCATGTCTTCCCGACGAGGGGAGTGAGTTGGCCGAGTTGGCGGTCTGGCACGGTTGGGACTCAGGAATCGAAACATATGCTGCTCACCTGTCGAACCTTCTGATACTGTGCTTCATTTGCGACGCGGGTAAGTGGCTGGGATATCACCTGAGAGCCTGCCCGAACTGAGAAAAACGACAGCGGGGTCTAGAGAACCAATGAGAGTGCAACACCATGTGCATGTCGTGATTTGAGCTGCACAGTGGCACTTCTTCAGGTGCGACGCGTCACCACTTGCCCAGTCTCGATTCCAGGTTAGGGTTCACGAAGCGCATGCTACCAACCAGATGACTGTTACTCAGCCAGCGGTGCTGTGACAGCGTATATCAAGGATAATGCGAGTTCATGATACTCCGCAAAAGCATATGTGAAACCTTATGCCTTACGATTAGCATACCGGTAATACAGAATGATACCATTTTGGAATGGTGGAGCAAGATAGCACCAGACCAAGAAATAAGACATAATACATATATTACATATAAATGGAACAGGTTACTTTACTTCCAGTTAGAGTTGTTATTATCAGCCCCCAACTTCCACCCATATGTCTATTCCTAGTGTTACCCTTCTCGAAACAACCACTCCCCACAACACCATCAGTAAAAGCCAACTGCTGCATGCATTGTCCGCTTCACCCGCCCCACTGTCAGCTGATGGAACACTTCTTTTCGCACTGCTTGTTGTACCCACCCTCGCTTGTGCCACTTCCTGGATCAGTACCACCACCCCTGCTTCCATCCTGATCTCCCCCCCCCCCCCCCCCCCCCCCCCCCCCCCCCCCCCCCCTCCCCCCCCTCTTTCCCTCCCTCTTTCCCTGCTCCCCCGTTCTCTGCAGCGCCATTGTCTTCCACCGAGCAGTCATCACACCAAACCTACACCCACCAGTCACCACCGCACTGGCTGCAGCAAAGTACCGCGAGCGCATGCAGCGGGTGCGACGGCTTACTTGTTCATGTGACGCGTTACCCAGCACAAGCCCGGCGCCCCCTGCCTTCAAGTGACGCGTTACTTGAACGCGTCGGCTGTTCAAGTGAAACGCTACCCGGCAGGAGCCACAGAGCCCGGTGCTTTCAAGCTCCCGGTCTTGTGCGCCTTGCCACTCTCCTTCAGCTGCGCCCGCAGCTTATGTTATGAGGCGCTTCAAAAGTCGTCTCTACACACAATCTTTTTACAAGCCTCAAAAGTCAAACGGAGCCCGGTGCCTTGGAGCCCGGTGCCTTGGAGCCCGGTGCCTTGGAGCCCGGTGCCTTGGAGCCCCCGGCCTTCTTCTGCACCTTGCCCATCTCCTTCAGCTGCGCTCGCAGCTTACTCGCCGTGCCTTTCACGCTCTCATACGCCTGCTTCTTGCTGTCAGCATCCATTCTGGCAGCGGCAGCAGCGGCCTGTTTCGCCGCAGCATCCTCACCAGCCTGCCTAGCAGCCTCTGTTCTCTTCTTAGCTAAAGCCACGGCAGCGTCTGCCTTCCGCTGCAACTTGTCCGCTTGAAGCCCAGCAGCGTTCGCTTCCTTCTCCAGGCGCCCTGCCTTGGCATTCGTGGCATCTGTGGCCTTTTTGGCCTTGCTCTGAGCAGTGATTGCTGCCTGGTACTGCGCGGTCAGCTGCTGCACACTCAAGCTGCCTTCTGAAGGGCCTGTGCTGCCTAAGTTTCCCGTGCTGCCCGTGCTGCCAGTGGTGCCAGTGCTGCTGCTGCTGCCAGTTGTTCCGGTGCTGCCCGAGCTGCCCGTGTCCGGGTAAGCACAGTCGACCTCATCGCTCCCATCTGGTGGGACGTGAAGGGAATGAGAGGACGTGGATGGGCAAGAGATCAAGGGGTGAGAGATAAATGATGTGAAGGGCAAGAGGTGAAGGGCAAGAGGTGAAGGGCAAGAGGTGAAGGGCAAGAGGTGAAGGGCAAGAGGTGAAGGGCAAGAGGTGAAGGGCAAGAGGTGAAGGGCAAGAGGTGAAGGGCAATAGGTGAAGGGCAATAGGTGAAGGGCAAGAGGTGAAGGGCAAGAGGTGAAGGGCAAGAGGTGAAGGGCAAGAGGTGAAGGGCAAGAGGTGAAGGGCAAGAGGTGAAGAGGGTGCAGGAGCGGGTGGGGAGGGGGGCGGAGGGAAGGAAAGGCACGCACCGAAGCAGTCCTTTTTGCCGTTGCAGAAAGCCTCGTCGCGCACGCACTGCTTCCCATCGCCGCACTTCTGGAACCCGTCCAGGCACGAGTACGCAGCACAATACTTGGCGTCCTCATCTGGTGCCACCAGCACTCCACTCGCGTTCCTGACTTTCGGGCAATTCGGCACGCCGTCGCACATGTAGCCCTTGATGCAGGCAGAGGTGGCCGTGCATTTGAGTTGGTCTATCTGGCAGTTGGAGCTGCGGTAGTCGAGGCAGAAGCCGGGGGACTCGTCGATGGCGCCCGGGCACTGCATGATGCCGTCGCACACTTGAGTCGGCTTCACGCAGTACTCCGTTCCCACACACTCCACCTGCGGGGGAAAGAGGGGGACAGCGGGCGGGATGGTGGAAGGGATGGCGGACGCACGGGGAAAGGGACGGGTGAAGGGAAGGGGAGCTTTGAGGGTGAGGAAGTTGAGGAGAGGGAACGACTCTTGAGGCGCCTCAAAAGCTTGTGGGTGAGAAGGATGAGGAGGGTGAGGAGGGTGAGGAGGGTGAGGAGGGTGAGGAGGATGAGGAGAGCGAATGACTTTGCTGCACACCTACGGAGGCAAGTCAATGGCCAGACAAACCATGCCAATTGCAAGCCGGAACGAGCAGCGAGTGTGGGCAAAGCAGCGAGTGTGGGCAAAGCAGCGAGTGTGGGCAGAGCAGCGAGTGTGGGCAGAGCAGCGAGTGCAGGCAGAGCAGTTGCGCTTGTCGGGCGGGGAATGTGAGAGCGGTAGGGGAGGGACTGGGGAGGGATGTATTACAGTGGTGCCGGTGCAGTCGAGTGGGTTGCAGTACCACGCAGCCTCGTCGCTCTTGTCCTTGCAGTTGGCCGTCCCGTCACACAGCTTGCTGGGGTCCACACACTGCCCGAGACCTGGACACTCCGTCTGTTGAGCGGTTGTGACCATAGCATAGCATAGGGGCAAATATGAGAACAAAAGGAGATGAGTTGACAAAAAAATAGACATTATGTCTGTTGAATGGTTGTGGCCATAGCACGGGGGCAGATATGAGAACAGGTGTGCATGTGGCAACAAAAGGAAGGTCAGTGCGTAACTTAAGAGGAGGTAGTGGATTGGCAAAAGTGCGAGGACACGGGGGGGTTTGGAGGGGTGGGAGGGAGTCGAAAGCGAGTGGGACAAGGGAGATTGCTGGATTAATACTGAGGTGACTTTTGAGTCGACTCAAAAGGCGAAAGCGAGTGGGACAAGGGAGATTGCTGGATTAATACGTAGTTGGAAATAGACTTTTGAGGCGCCTCAAAAGTTGCTGGATTAATACGTAGTTGGAAATAGTGCGACGAGTGTGACGAGTGGGGAGAGGAAAGAGCGCGGAAATTCCGGGATCTGCAGTAAAGCGTAAAGAGTCAGCTCTGAGAAATTTCACAAGTCGAGGGTGGGGGGGGGTGATAGGATGAAAATGAGGCAGTGCGTGAGACGGAAGAGAGGAAGAGAGAACTGTCAGAATCCCAGCCATTAGACCACTAGGATAAAAGGGCTAAGTAACAGGTCTGTAACCCATATCTAGGATCGGTCGGGCATCCCCAGGACGTGCGGAAGGGAGAGGAGGGGGACAGCGGCACGGGGGCTAGTGGGGGAGAAGAGAGGGAGCAGAATGGGGGCGAACCAGGTCGCCGCAGTTGAGTTGAGCAGCACCTGTGCTGCTGCTGCCAGTGCTGCCAGTGCTGCCAGTGTTGCCGGTGCTGACCGTGCTGCCTGTGCTCTCCGTGCTGCTGCTGCTGCCAGTTGTTCCGGTGCTGCTCGAGCTGCCCGTGTCGGGGTAAGCACAGTCGACCTCATCGGTCCCATCTGGTGGGACGCGAAGGGAATGAGAGGACGTGGATGGGCGAGAGGTGAAGGGCAGGTCAAGGGCAGGTCAAGGGCAGGTCAAGGGCAGGTCAAGGGCAGGTCAAGGGCAGGTCAAGGGCAGGTCAAGACCAGTCAAGAGCGGTCAAGAGCAGGTCATGAGCAGGTCAAGAGGGAAGGTGGCAGGGAGTAGGGCAAGAACGCACCGAGGCAGTCCTTCTTGCCGTCGCAGAAAGCCTCGAGGCGCACACACTGCATTCCGTCGCCGCACTTCTGAAACCCATCCAGGCACTCGTATGCCACGCAATACCTGGAGTCCTCGTCCGGAGCTATCAGCACTCCGCTGGCGTTTTTCACCTTGGGGCAATTCGGCACGCCGTCGCACATGTACCCCTTGATGCACGCGGAGGAGGCGGTGCATTTGACCTGGTCCTCCTCGCAGTTGGAGCTGCGGTAGTCGAGACAGAAGCCGGGGGACTCGTCTATCGCGCCCGGGCACTGCATGATGCCGTCGCACACTTGAGTCGGCTTCACGCAGTACTCCGTTCCCACGCACTCCACCTGCGGGGGAAAGAGGGGGAGGGACGGGAGGAGGGATGGGGGAAGGGCAAGGGGAAGGAAGCAGAGTTGGGTGATCCAGCTCAGGCACTGCATGATGCCGTCACACATCTGACTGGGCTTCACGCAGTGATCCGTTCCCACGCACTGCACCTGAGGGGGAAAGAGGGGGAGGGGCGAGCGAAGGGAAGGGGAGTTGGCGGGTCAAGAGAGGGACTGATTCAGTCGTCAACTACCTGAGACAGCTTCAAGCTGACTCTGGACTTTTGAGTCGACTCAAAAGTCAACCATCTGAGACAGCTTCAAGTTGACTTTGGAAGATGCCGCATAGCATGCTGTAGGTTATGGCGCGGTTGGGGGAGGGGGCGGCGGGCGTGGCGGGTTGACGTATGGTGGTATCCGGGTCGGAGCAGTCGAGTGGGTTGCAGTAGCACGCGGCCTTGTCGCTCTTATCCTTGCAGTTGGATGGACCACCAAGTAGGTGCCATGCTGTCAACACGTGCCTACACCTTCGAGCAGAAACACCTGTGAAACTATATGTGCAGGTGCGGCGCAGTTGAGAGCGGTGCAGAGCGACGTACGGTGGTATCCGGGTCGGAGCAGTCAAGCGGGTTGCAGTACCACGCGGCCTCGTCGCTCTTGTCCTTGCAGTCGGCCGTCCCGTCGCACAGCTTATCCGGGGCCACACACTGCCCGAGACCAGGACACTCCATCTGTTGACAGTAACGCGGGGAACGTGTGACAAAAAGGGAGGTGAGTTGACGAAATCAGTGCGGATTGCAGTCGGCCGTCCCGTCGCACATCTTATCCGGGGCCACGCACTGCCCGAGACCTGGACACTCCGTTTGTTGAATGGTTGTGACCATAGCATAGCATAGGGGCAAATATGAGAACACGAGGTGATGAGTTGAGTAAGAAATAGACATTATGTCCGGGGCCACGCACTGCCCGAGACCAGGACACTCCGTCTGTTGAGCGGTTGTGAACATTGCACGAGGGAAGATGTGAGAACAGTAGGTGCAGATGTGAAAACAAGAGTGGGGGTTGATAGGCTGAGAGTGAGGCAGTGCGCAAGACGGAAACGAGGAGTGGTGGCGATGGGGGAAACGGGGAAGAGGGGAGCAGCGGGGCGGGGAGCAGAGAGGGAGCAGCGAGGGAGCAGAGAGGGAGCAGAGAGGGAGCAGAGAGGGAGCAGAGAGGGAGCAGAGAGGGAGCAGAGAGGGAGCAGAGAGGGAGCAGGGTGGGGGGCGTACCAGGTCGCCGCAGTTGAGTTGAGCAGCCACCTGCCGGGGGTTAGGGGCACGGAAAGAAAAGCACGGGGAGACGAGCACGGGGAGACGAGCACGGGGAGACGAGCACGGGGAGACGAGCACGGGCACGAGACAGTAGTTTAGGGCTGGACCTTGCGGCGGCGGCGGGCGGGCGGGCGGGTAAACCCTAGAATTCCGACTTTAACTGAATCCTTGAAGGATCATGATGACTCCAATCGAGACGAGTGGGGGGGGGGGCGGGGGGGGGAGAGCGTAGAGATGGCGGGTGCAGAGCAGTGAGACACAAGGGACGAGGGGCGAGGGGCGAGGGACGACGATGGACGATGGGCGATGGCGGTCTAGGAAGGATCATCGCAAGTCGGCCTGTGCACTGCACTATACGGTGGCAGTACGGTGGCACCACCTGGTGCCGTCACGGTGTCACGAGGGTTATGGAGGGCAATGCAAATCCTGTGACAGGAGAGATAGAAGTGTGGTTTTGAGACGTCTCAAAACTACACTTCTATCACGATGGTTGTACAGTGCTCGAATGCAAACGCAGGAGGGGAAATGAAAGAGCTACGGGCAGCTGGAAGGCGCACGGACGACCGCGTATCGGCGCTGCGCGCGGAACGAATTTTTAGACTCGCGGTCTCGAAAACCGTGTACCAGCGCTGCGTGCGGCTACTACCCGGACAGGTAGTATCTGTACTACAGTGCGACCCGATAGTAGTAAGCGGGTCGGACAGTGCGTTCAGGCAGTGCGCGTGATCAGTCTGTTGCGGTCACCGCTGCTTGGCGCGGGCGGATCGTACGGTCTAGGGTTCGTACCAGGGTCGTGAGCGAAAGGAAGGTGAGAAGTTGCGCCGTGGCACAAAAGATGTGCACGGCGTGCCGTTGATGCCAGCTGGCCCTCGCCATCGGACGGCTCTCGCCGAGCGGAAATACCATGCAACACGATAGGTATCGAGTGTAGACTCCTTGAAATACTCTTTTGGGAAATATTGGATACTCCTCAAGAAAAAATTGTGGAAGACTCATGGATATGCGGGCCTGTGTTTGGCTCCCTAGACTTGACTCGGATCTACGGAGGACTCTGATCCCTTACTCGTACTTGATCTGACGGAATCTACACTTGAGTACAGATTGATCTCTCAACTTCGCCTCAAAAGTAAATCTACGGAGGACTCTGATCGCTTATTTTTAGTCGACTCAAAACACGGAAGACTCCGATCCCTCGTTCCGATCTCTTGCTCGTACTTGACGGAATTCTAGCGAGCGTAGCTGGCGAGAAAGCGTTTCTGCAAGAACGCTGTCGTTTCCCTAGAGCCTACTAAAGGAAGATTTTTGGTTAGGGACGCGTCGTCCACCTAACATCATTGCTATGCGATCCGGTGTACTACCTACCCACTTACACGTACCTGCCTTGTACAGTAATGAACGCGCCCCGACCCTACTGCTGTGCGCGCGAAGTCAGCTCGAGGCGACTCCCGACTTCCATGACTCGTTACAAACCAGCAGCACAAGCTTTGTTGCTGCTGCTGATAGTCGCGCTAGTCTTTGGTAGGTAGGAAGTCGTCCAAGTCAATATACCAACTCACGCCCCACCTAGAGCCTTTCCTTGCTGTCATGCCCAGCAGCGGTCCATCAATACTGTACTCGCTAGTACCCGCGCTTTTTTATCTGGTTAACACACAAAAAATTTAGCCACTTCGGGTAGTTAAGAACAAGCAACTTCGTAGCTATCTAGTGCCTTGCGACTTTCCGCTACGTTGGGCGATTCTTGGCGACCAAAACATTGTAACAATTTCGTTTTAACGGCTGAGGGGAATACTAACGATGACTCATGATTTGGCGCCAGCGTAGCGTCTAGCTACAATCACAAGCATGCGACTGCTTTTCTTCACACTCCACAATCTAACCGTCACACTGCTACCGGCTCGTGAGGCCGTCAGTTTCTGAACGTAGACAGTAAATTGATGCCCAATTCTATTGGCTGCGAAATCCCACCGTACATGTGCGACGGATAATGTCAGTGATCAAACCTGGGTGTTCGGATGCGCAAAAAACAACCTTGTAACAAGTTTGGTCATGTGCAACGACCTACTTGTTCGGGTGTTGGTTGTAAAAGGTGCATATATCTAAAAGGTCCTACAAGGTGCGAGCATGGTGGACAGGTGCAAGGGGAGGGTTGGTTTTGCTCGCTGCTGGGAATACCACTAGTCATTCCCCTCCGTGCCGCTGCCAGCTTCCCAGCCCTCCGATTGTGAATCTTTGCATCCAACGGCCAGTATGCGTGCGGCTCCAGTTTCCCTTCCTTCTTCACATCGTCGCCCGCTCTCCGCGCGCTGCCAGCAGCGTATTCATCCCCTGTATAAGATCATCAGCTACCACTTCTAGCCTGATTCTTCCCACCGCGCTTATCCTTACCAGAAGGAATGGCCTGGCCAAAACTGGCCTTGGCCTTCTTCCTACCACCAGCACCACCACCAGCAGCACCAGCACCAGCACCAGCACCAGCACCAGCACGAGCACCACCACCCCCTCTCTCGCCCCTACCTCTGCCCCTCCTGCCCCTCCTCCACTGCGGATCCGCCGGCCAAACGCCAGCTCAGCAGCCCTCGCAGATGCCAGGCTGGCATCGCCCATCGCCACGTCATCACTCTCCATAACCCCATAGTCCAAATTCCCCTCTCCATCATTCCCCCCTGCGCCCACACCCTATTTGGCTCCTCCTTACCTCCCCTTACCACCCTCTCCCCCCTCGGTCTCATTCGGAACAACTATCTTTCCATCCTCTGTATACTCGAAGCCCGAATCCTCCCCTTCCTCTCCCCATCCCCATCACGATGCCGCTTCGAACCACCACCACCACCAGTATGCCCCCCACTACCAGCAACAGTAGCACCAGAGGAAAGGGTTCCGCGGGTGGGCGTGTCGCCACCTGTCTCCATGGTCCGCTCGTGCAGCTGTGGCCTGCCAAGCTGCGCCTTCTTGCCCGCCCTGCAGGGAGAGGAGAAGGGGTAAGATGTGAGAGAGGGAGAAGAGAGTGTGAAAGTGGCATGATGTGAGAGAGGAGGGAGAAGAGAGCGTGAAAGTGGCATGATGGCTGCAGCTGTGGCCTGCCGTGCTGCGCCTTCTTGCCCGCCCTGCAGGGAGAGGGGAGGGGGGGAGAGGAGAGAGGGGAGGGATTGTGAAATGGCCAAGGAGAAAAGGCGGACGGAGAAAACAGAGAGCAGAACTGCCCGTCTGTCTTCTTGCCCAGAACGCAGGAGGAAGAGGTCCCGGGGAAAGAGGGGAGAGGAGAGGGGATAGGGGAGAGGGCTGAGGGGAGAAGGGAGAGTTGAGAGGGGAGAGCGGAGAGGGGAGTGGGGAGAGGGGAAAGGGAGGGGAAAGGGAAAAAGGGGGAGAGACAGAATGGGGCAGCAAGGCGGAAGGAGAAACGGCGGAAGGAGAAACAGCGGAAGGAGAAAGAGAGGAAGCAAAAGAAGCAGGACTGCGCTGGGAGAGATGGTCTCACATGCCACACACCATGCCATCGGATGCAATTGCTTACTAAGTGAAGAACCCATACCCGCAACACCATATCCCACACCCCATGCCACACCCCATCCCACACCCCATGCCACACCCCATGCCACACCCCATGCCACACCCCATGCCCCATCCCATGCCCCATACCATGCTCCATGCCACGTCAGCACACCTGGACAAGAGCGCGTTCGACCACACAGATTTCGTCGACCCGTCCTGGCGGGACGCTGACTTGGCGGCGCGTGATTTGCTGCCGAACACCCTGCGCTCGTCCTCGTCAGCGTCGCTGTAATCCTCGTCATCGCTGGAATCGCCGTCTGCTGATGTGTCCGAAAACAGTTTCGAGTGGATCCAGTCACTCGTTCTGAAACGGGGCGGGAGTGGAAGAGGGAAATCGGGGAGAAGTGGGGGGGGGGAGGGGAGGGAGCGGGCACACACGAAGGGAGAAATGAGTGAAGGCAGATGCATGGGGAAGACAGATAATCATGTTATAACCGCCGCGCCACTCGCAGGCGCCAGGGTTTGGCTTGCCTGGGACAGAGGGTTTGGCTTGCCTGGGACAGTGTCCATGTAATAACCGCCGCGCCACTCGCATTTCCTCCCTGTCACGAACCCACCTTGCGGATGTGTGTGAGCAGTCGCTGATGCTCCTCCGGCACCCCCCCGCCACCGTCGCATGGCCTCACCATCTCACCAGCCGCTGCACTATATTGCGCACCTGCGAGGAGGGGGAGTGGTGGCGGCATTTGAATGGGTGGGGATGATGGCAAGCAGGCAGCAGGGTGAAGGCAGCAGGCAGCAGGCAGCAGTGCTTGAGCATTCCAATCCATATCATACCTTGGCTTCGAACCGGGTAGCGACAACCTCGTTGGTGGAGAGCAAAGCAGTCATGATAGCCGGCAGGTGAGTGTCCAGGTCTGCAGTTTCACAGATAGCACCTTCACCAGGCCCAGACAGGCTTCAGCACGTCGCGGTACGGCGAGCGGACTGCCGGCCAGGCGCGTGTGTGCCACGTCTTAAGGGTAGTCACGTGACTAGAAGGTTAGTGGCTACTGCTCCTACTGCTGCGCCTGCCAGGACGTTGCAGGTTGTTTTTGAGGTGCCTCATAAACCGAGTGTGCGCCACGTCTAGAGGGTAGGTACATGACCAGGAGGCTCGTGGCTCCTGCTGCTGCGCCTGCCGAGCCGACTTTTGAGTCGACTCAAAAGTCACCTGGAGGCAGGTACGTGACTAGAAGGCCAGTGGCTCCTGCTGCTGCGCCTGCCAGGACGTTTCCTGCTGCGATTCGCGTGGCGGAAGGCTTGGTGAGAAGGCTCTGTGAGAAGGCTCTGCGAGAAGGCTCTGTGAGAAGGTGAGACGGGGCGAGGAGAAGGCGATAGCAGTCCTGCGGACGGGGAGAAGGCAGTGTGGAAGACAGGAGGACGGAGAGGGCACGGAGGCGGGAACAGAGGGGGGAACAGATGAAATGGGGGTTCATGGAGAAAGTAGCACATAGTGAGGCGATGTTGAGTGCAGGCGACAGGTAACAGTGGCTTACAATCCGACAGGCGCCACACACACGAGACGAAACATGTGTGTGGCGCCTGGCTTACAATCCGCCAGAACGCCGCTATAACGGATTGCATGCCCGCAAACTGCCTGCGCCACACGCACAATCCGACAGGCGCCACACACACAGGGACGCCTCACAGTCCCCATCGACCGCATAAACCAAACTGTCCGCATAGACCTCTAGGGGACTGACCTGATAAGCGACGTTGAGCGCGAGAGACGGGTAGTAACGCATAACACTACAAACGCAAACGCAAAGAGCTACTACACATCCATCCCGAACTTTCAGAGTTCAAACAGGGAAAAAAACTATTCCGTACCCAGAATTCGTATCCGCACTCTTTCTTCATGAAGGTTCCAAGAGGTGGAAGAAAGACTGTCGCGATAATTGCACCCGCGTTCCAGCAATCTGACATACCGTCAGCCCCCGGATAGAAGCGCACCTGGGGTTATAAAAAAACACTGTTTTTTAGGGGGTGGGCTTATAATTGAGGATTTTTATAAGCGCCGGGGCTTATAAAATGACATATATGAATCTAGTTTTTTTACACCAAAGTGTTTATCTCGTCCTTGCGATTTGAATCGAATCGAGATTGTAGGGGGCTGGAATGTGAATCTCGCGTAAATTGGCAGTGGCTGATTCTCTGCCAACACGCACAGTCAGAATGAGTCAGATTAACCTCATGACAGGTCATTCTGACTGGACGCGAAGGCATTGAGTCGCGCGATGGTGAAGGGATTCGAATTTCTGAATGTTGGGATGCAAAAATTGTGTTTCGTTACAGCGTTTCCAGTAAAAATATTAAATATAATTCAGAGGGTGGCGCTTATAATCCGTAAGCCTTTAGGGGTGCGCTTATAATCAGGGCCTGTGCTAGGTTTTGGGGCATCCTGAGGCCTCAGGGCAACTTTCCAAAATCTGAAAAAATGCCCTGATTTGTCAGGGCAACTTTTCGGAGGCTTCCTGTAATTTCAGGGCTTCTACAAAAAAATATCCTGGCCTGTCAGGGTGTAAGGAAATTCCCTTTTCCTTACTTCGCGTCCCTGCTCAACGCGTACGTCACTGTAGCACCTCAGTCAGCACCGTTACCACTCACGACCATCGCATCATTCATTATCCCGCCCTCTTCGCACATCGCATCCCGACCTCACGGCTCGGCTGGTAACCCGCGCTCCGGGCCTACGCTTCGACATTTTCCCAACCTCAGCCCCAGGCTCGTCGCGCGACAACCACAGTCCATTACCGTTACCACTATTGTTTCGCTATATAATCCTTCGCTCATGCCTTCGCTCATTGTACTTCTTTGCTTCGATAGTGCAATTCTCGTTCGTTCACTCAATTGCACTCATAACACTTGGTAATCAGAGCCTACGATCTCATCTCGGACCGCATCCACACCTTCGCTTCCCACTATCTCAATTTTTGGGGGGGGTAGACGTCTCTCAGCGACACAGCACCGCCGCTCGTAGTGCTCTCTCGCAAGCACGCACGGCCACGACCGAGGCTCTCGCTGAGCTTGCCCGACACCCCCGCCATGGCCGACCTCAATCTCGCCACGTTGACGCAGGAGCAACTCGATCGTCTCGTGCGACAATTGGAGGATTCGGCACTTGAAATCGCGACGCTCACGGCGGAACGTGACTCCGCTCGTCAACAGTCAACGGTGAATGCTCCGACAACATCCCACGCACCAACCAATGTTTCTGTACATTCGGAGGAGCCGATTGTCATCTCATCCGGCACACCAACGCAACACAACAGCACGGGACAGCGCTCAGGCGCAGCCAGTGACGGCGCAGCCCAACCGATGCCCGGCATGGGAGGGAACAGGAGCACGCTAAGCCCACGGGAGCCCCGAGAAGCCCGTCGGCACGTGGAGTTTGCGGCGACAAGTGGTGAAAACGCCATGATGGCCCCAATGCCACTCAAGCCGCAACGCCCGCCCTGCTTCGACCCAAGCCAACGCGGCGGCCCGACAGTTCAATCGTGGGTCTTCACGATGAATGTGTTTTTCGACGCCAACTACGTCGAGTCGGACGCCGCCAAGATTCGGTATGCGGTTTCACTACTCAGGGGCCCCGCCATGGACTGGTGGCGAGTCATCGTGACGTCGCCACGCGCCTACGAGCCACCGTCGCACGAGGAAGGGCCCTCGGGTCCAGCTGTCACCTGGAGTTCGTTCTGCGAAACAGCCCAATACAGCACGTGGGATGCGTGGTGCGCAGGGCTTCGGGCGCGTTTTGAGCCAATCGGGGCTTCGATTTCGGCGCGTCAGAAACTGCGCACTTGGCGCCAGCTCGGGTCGGTTCAAGACTACACCAGCGGTTTTCTCGCACTTTGCGAACAGGTCGGCTACATGCACGAGGCGGAGCGGGTGGACCGTTACGTCGGAGGGCTGAAGCCGGACATATCGCACGAGATAATGCTACGCGGGCTATCGAATTTCAACGAAATCCTCGCGCTCGCCGAGAAAATCGATATCCTACGTCGACCGAGACCGGGGTCCTATTTCGGACATCGCCCTCGGGGACCGATCGAGCACGCCACTGTACATGCCGTCGCAACGAATGCAGCTGCCACGCCATTTAGAGGGCGCTGCTTTGCTTGCAACCGGCCGGGCCATCGCAAGAGCGAATGTCCAGAGGAGCTGAGGCGTCGAGGAGCAGAGCAGGGGAAGGAGTCTCAGAGGCAGGGAAACGCCAGCAGTCAGTAGAAGTTGGGCCAACTACTGACGAGACTGCCTGCTCGCCCAACCACACCGACCCTCACCGAGTCACAGTACCGATTCACGCCATCGATCGGGCTCGGATGAATAAGGAGGGTACAGCGACGGATTGCCCGGTACTGATCTACGGGAAAATACAGGGAGCAGCAGTGAAAATCTTCATTGACGGAGGGGCAAGTCACAGCTTAGTTAATACTGCAACCGCACGGAGATTACAGTTAATACTTAACCGATGTTTACCTGAGATAGATGCACGCTTAGTCGACGGCACGCCATTGGCCATACGAGAAAAAGTGGAGCGAGTAAAAGTCAGCTGCGGGGGAAAATTCGGGTTTACACAGGAAATGCTCGCAAAGACGCTGGATGGGCACGACATTTTACTGGGACGTGATTGGCTGCGACGGTACAACCCACGGATCGACTGGACGACGGGGAGCTGCACAGTGCGAAGTAGTGGTAACTGGGTCGTCCTACCTCGCTGGCGGCCACCCGAATCTTCGACAGTCCAGGTCAACGCCATCACGATGAAACGGGCTGTCGCTGCTGAAGCTGACGTGTACGCAGTGGATATCGCAGTGGTAGAAAAAGACGAGCAGCAGAATGATTTAAAGAAACTACTCGCAGCCGTACCGACCGAATTACAGGCACTACTGAAACGGTTCCCGGGGATATTTCCGGATGATTTACCACAGGGACTGCCACCTCAGCGAGCGCACGACCATAGGATCGAGTTAGAACCGGGGGCACAGCCAACAGTACAGCGGCAATTTCGACTGACACAGCCCGAGCTCGACGAGTTAAGGAAGCAGTTAGATTACCTGTTAGAGAAGCAGTTTATTCGACCAAGCTCGTCACCGTTCGCCGCACCCATACTGTTCACACCGAAAAAAGACGGAGGTTTTCGCATGTGCATCGACTACCGAGCGCTTAACCGAGTAACAGTCAAATCGCGATACCCCATCCCCCGCGCCGACGAACTGATTGACCAACTGCGAACAGCACGTGTCTTTTCGAAAATAGATTTACGGGGAGGATACCATCAGATCCGGGTCGATCCATCGGACTGCGCAAAAACAGCATTTAGGACTAGGTACGGGTCATTCGAGTATACAGTAATGCCCTTCGGGTTGACGAACGCGCCTGCGACTTTTCAGATGACCATGAACGAGGCGTTTAGACCACTTTTAGATAAATGCGTGATCGTTTACCTCGACGATATCCTCGTTTACAGTCGGGATAAGCAGCAACACTTAGCAGATCTTGAAGCAATTTTTAAGGTTTTAGAGGAACATCGGCTGCTCACCAAGGGCTCCAAGTGCGAGTTTTTTAAGGATAGGCTAGAGTTTTTAGGTCACGTCATTTCAGAGGCTGGGGTTGAGATCGACCCAAAGAAGCTGGATACGGTAAAAGCGTGGCGCCCCCCGACGAACATCACGGAACTGCAGAGTTTTTTAGGGTTTGTTAATTACGTTCGACGGTTCGTGCCCGACATGGCACGTTTAACAGCCCCACTAACTGATTTACTGCGTAAGGGGGTCGCTTTTACGTGGGGGGAGAAAGAGCATGCTGCCTTCTCTGCCCTAAAAACCGTTCTCTGTTCACCACCCGTTCTACGTATCGCTGATCCCCACCGCCCTTTCGAAGTGGTTACCGACGCAAGCGATACAGCTACGAATCACACCATCGGAGCTGGCATCGCCATCGGAGCTGTACTGTTACAGGACTTCGGCAACGACCTCCAACCCATCGCCTACGAATCACGCAAACTACATCCGCCTGAGCGAAATTACCCGATACACGACCGCGAAATGCTCGCGATCGTGCATGCATTCAAAGTTTGGTGCTGCTACTTGACCGGCGCAGACGTGACAGTACGGACAGACCACCGATCTCTACAGTACCTCCGCGCACAGCCCCACCTCAACCCACGACAGATTCGATGGCTCGATTTCCTCGAGTCGAATTTTCACTATACGGTCACATACAAAAAAGGAGCATCGAATATCGCCGACGCACTGACCCGCCCCACTGCCCAGATCCACGCGATACTACTCGCCCAGACCAGCCCACTGCTTACAGGCCTATTTACCCACGGATATCAAACAGACCCGTTCTTTACAGGAGGCAACTCACAGCAATTCGCAGCGGCAAGAGGAGTCTATTACGTAAAAACTGGAACCGACCGCATCTGGGTACCGGG